GAACTAAGGGACGGAGGGCGAGAAAAGCCAGTCCCGAGATGATCGGAAGGATTCCAATACATCACTCCACCACCGAAATATTGATTATAGTCTACTCCAGAAACAGTGTGCACCTCAAAATCTTCCTCTAACATCCAGTTATTCTCGCATTCATTCCCCAGCTCGGGCTTATTTTTCTGTTCAGGAATGTCCACCAGAATTCCAGAATCATAATTGCAAGCGAATGCTGTTGTCAAGCCGCAATTGCTATGAACCATGGGAGGCCAATCTAGACTCATGGGCATGGGTCGAGAAAGAACTTGTTTGTGGGAACCTTCAATGGAAGGATTTCTAGCATGTTGCACAGTGGACACAAAAGGTTGGCGTACGTATGCATGCAAATTGTGACCAACATCAAGATGCAGTCTATCAGTTGCAGTTGGAAGGTGAGAATTAACATGTGAAAAGTACATAGGAGCTACAGCAGGCCACTCATAAGAAACAAATTCTGAACTGCTGGAGGCAATACCGTAACCTGCTTCTCTTCTCTGATGGTGAATCCGATGGGATTCCCCTTCCTCCAAAGTTCTGGATCGTCCATTAGGCATTGTCAACTTTTCTTTACGATCACCTGGACAGCAAGATTTTTGAGAGTTCACATTCTCACAGCTTGGACCACCGGCAGGATCCGCAGAACTCAAATTGGAGGAAATCACATGCGTTTCAGCTTTGTCGTGCAATTCTTCCTCTCCAGAATACTCACAATTAGCTGCACCATTCACAGATGCACAAGTACCTGATCTACTCCTTTCACAGCTAAATGAATCATGCTCTCCAATAATCTGAGCATTGATATTTTCCTGAGGAAGCTGATAGGCAGAAGTACAACTAGAATCACATTTGGGAGCTTCTACGATGGCTGAACTATTCACTACGGACTTATTCACTTCCCCGGTGTTTTCCAAACTTGTACACTTCTTACTCTTATTCTTTTCTTTCCTTTTCTTTTTAGTTCTTCCTTTCCTGGCAACCAACCCTGGGACAACTTCCTGATAAATATTATCAGTTTCAAAACAACCCGAGTTCAATTCATCCAAAATATGAGGAAAGAAAATAATTCACCATAGTTGCTGCAGAGGCCGCAGGACTACTGATCTTCGTTGAAGCTGCAGGAACTTTCTTGCATTCTATCGCTTCTCTGTTTTTGGTAAATTCCAATTTAGCTTGATCTTTCTGGAGATAACTTCAAAGATCAAATTCAAGTTGCCATACAGAAATTAAATAATCTGTGGACGGATAGAAACTATGTACCTTTCCGCTTTTTGTGGACAAACTAACATTTTTATCAGATGTAGCCTCCGGAGTAGGCTTTTTCAAGTTCCTGGTCTTTCCTTTGTGTTTACGGCTGGTCAAACCAAGCTTCTGATTGGATGATGAACTTGGAGAACACTTGTGAGTGTTGTCATCAAGAAGTTCAACTTTAACGGAATCAATAGAGATTACCATAAGAAAACCCCGCAGTTTTCTTAAGATGCAATCAACTAAGGTTGTGATAGTACCCAATGAGCTGAAAAATACGCTTTGTACTGGAACTAAGCCATTTTGGCATAAGATGAGCAGCGAAGCAAATTCTTGAAGAACGTATAAGCCACTTAAATTACTGGCTACGGTAATAGGTTTCCTTGATACAGAGTTTGGTTCCAAAATCATGTCACAGAATGAAACTTCAGAAGTTTCTGTACGCCTTTTCCTTGCACTTGCAAAATTGAAGAGCCATATATCTCCCTGCTGTGCTTGATTTGCTTCTCTAAGAATCTCATATATCTGGATTTGAGTGACAGCAGAAATTTAGATAAAATCAAACGGCATATACACACACTTGGATAACATGTAGCGGAACAGTGGCAGAGCTCACAGGATGACAGAGACTTCCAGAATGCAAGTTCACAGTAAAACAAAAGCAACCTTAATCTAGAAGGAATTTTAATATTTGTATAGACAATCTAGATAAGCGTCCAAGATTTTCAAATAAGAAGCCATAGTCCAAGAAAAAAGAGATAGATCTTTATACTAGTGAATCATTTTGTTGGCTCGAAATGCTATCCCTTGATAGCATATAGCCATAATTTGCCTACATCCTTTGCTATAGTCATTTATATGAAGTTCCATGTAATACTACTACATCTGCACCTTTAAGTTTTGACATGGAAAACACATACCACAGATTTAGCTGACTTCCCCAACAAACAAGTCCAGATTTTCCTGTGTGTTGCGGCATCCAAATTCTGCCACCAATCAACACAGGCCTTCTTCCTCCAATACGAATTGGCAGCCGCAGCAGCAGCATTCAATTTTTCTTTCAATTTGATTCCTCTTTTCTTGCCACTATTGGTGTTCAGCCAAGCTAATCTCAAGCTAACCTCTAACCTATTAGCTATGAAGGCTTCCATGCTATAATAGCCTTTGGCTTTGAGCCACTCCAATTCTACCCAATTGGAACCCAAATCACTCTCTTCTCCTCTCAAAAATGCTCCATTCGATAAAGCATCCATAGTCTCCACGAAACGATCCACATTCGTAAGAAGATCATCGGCCATGACGACGGAATCGAGGGAATTGACGGAGCAAGAGCAATCTTGAGCATTTTCCCCTTCTCTAGAACCAAAGAGCCGAGTGGAGTCGAAAACGAAACGCTCTGGCTCGTTAGACTCGGCAACCCTGGAGATTAAGCCACGAGATTTTTTAAAGCAGAGACTGGGGAGATCGGAGGAAGGGAGGTCTGGGAGGATGATGAAAGAGCCAGGGCCTTTGGTGCGGATATAACCAAGCATCTGAAGGAGGATTTGGACGAACTTGGGATCAACGAAGGTGAGGTGGGAGAGGCGCTGGTGTACGCTGAGAGAAGAGAACCATCGGAGGATCGCCGACCTAGGATTGGGGATACTATTAGCCATGGAAGAGGAAGAAGAATGGGAGTGGTACAGAGATATGTGAGATGTGAGGGAATCGATAAGTTGATTCTGAGCCATGGATGAGCCAGAGAAGGAGAATTTGGATGGGAGATGCCGATTTTCCATGGTTTCTTTTTTTTTTTTTCAAGTCTCCAAAGGAAGAAGACGAACGACGAACGGCTAATAATAACTTAAACCAAATCAATAATCCCCAACCGGTAACTGGAACCGGTCTTACTTGCTAACCATTCAATACGAGTCTATTTAAAACGGGCCTGGGCTTGAGCCCATTGTAAATCCTCGATGTTCTTCTTAGACAATTAGAACCGGAACAAGCCCATTGGCAACAGCTACCGGTATGATTATAAAATTGCAGTAGTGGAGAATCGAGAAGACACGCATCGAGTTTAAACGTGTGGTCGGAGAGAATAAAAGTGTGTGCAGATTTGCTTAAAGGGAAGGTGCTATAAAAAAGGATCTTGTTGGCCACGAGCTTCTTCCTTTTCTTCTTCTCCGCCGCACCCTTTGGGTCAACAGTTAAACCCTCTCCATTACGTGTGTGAGTATAACCATATAATATTAACATTATATAGATTATGTTTCATGACGTAGATCCTGCCTGTTCTACATACAAAATAATTAAATGGTTTTGATATGAGACGTTGGATACTTTTATCAATCTGGTCAACTGCCTAGCTAGAACAAATATATTTAATCACGTTCAAAATTGATCTTATACGAATACACTTATAATTAATTTAATTACAATATGTAGTACTTGCTTACCGGCCTTCTTATAACCTTCCTTCACCTCTAGCTCATCGATTGAATTAACAAACAAAAACAAATCCAAGTCAAGCTAGTGATCTTAAATCCAGCTCATTCATAGATCTATTCACGTGCCATGCAAAACGATGCATATATATAAGGGACACACACAAAGACATGTAAGTATTATACCATCGACCGATATAATTAAGCTACATATCCTCTCTCAGTTAATTCCCTAATTTTCCATGGCGGCTAACAACAAATTGACCCTCGTATTACTCTCCCTGCTCCCTCTCATCATCTTCTCGGCAACAGCCACGTCATCAAAAGACTACGACACGAAGGCTTACGTGCACTCATGGTGCCGGACAACCTTATACCCGAAACTGTGCGTCCGGTCGATGTCTCGTTACGTCCGTTCACGGGCGGTGCAAAATCCACGGGATCTGGCCCGATTCGCGCTCAAAGCCAGCCTATACAGAGCCAAGTACACAAAGGCGTTCTTGTTAAAAGAGGTAAAGAACCTCGAGACGACGCTGAGGCCCCAATACTACGCGTTGGTTCACGACTGCTTGAACCAAATAAGAGACAGCGTGAACCAGCTGAGCCTAGCCATAGCGGAGCTAGACAGAGTCAGCAGGAGGCAGGGAAAGAGCCAAGGGGATCTACACTGGCATATAAACAACCTGCAGACGTGGACAAGCACAGCTCTCACAGACGCCGAGACTTGCGTGAGTCAGTTCCCGGGACGGAGGATGAGCAAACTTAAGGCTACGATTAAAGGGAAAGTGAAGAATGTGGAGGAAACAACTAGTAATGCCCTTGCCTTCATCGAGTACTACGCTGCTGCTAGGTACCGAGCCAGACGTCCTTGAGTTGAGCCTTGTGTGTGTTTTGATCATCTTGTCTTAAATTTTCCTCTTTTGTTACTTCTTTATATATGTGTGTAATTGTTAACCAGTTGTGTAAATCCAAAAGTTCATATATGACAGTAAATTGTTATAATTCAATAACAAACAACAAAACAGCTTTGCGGTATACTATGATGATATCAATATTATTATCGACCTAGTAAAATATAGCCCGTCTAGCTCAGTTGGTAGAGCGCAAGGCTCTTAACCTTGTGGTCGTGGGTTCGAGCCCCACGGTGGGCGATTATTTATTTATTTATTTTTTTCTCCTATTTTCGTAAAGAGCTGCATTTTAAATGGGCTTTGAAATTAATGGGTCAGTCAGGTTAAGGCCCATATATTTTAATAAACTTAGTACTTCCAAACCCGACCCGGTTACTTGTATGCGGAGATCAGTCTCCATAAGCGAAGCTCTAGAAACACCGCCATTAACGGCTCGCTGCACCATTTTTGATCGTTGATCAGTCGTCGATCCTCTTTAGCGATTTGATTTTAGTTGTCAAATTCGAAAAATGGAATCGGTCATTGTAGTGGCCATTGCATCTGTTATCTTCGGTGCGTTGATCGCCGTGCTCTTCTTCGGTAACTACTTCCGGAAGCGGACATCGGAGGTGCAATCAATGGCCAAAGCGGAGCCTCAGGATCCGATCCGGAATCCCAAATCGAATCATCCTGCTCCCAAGAAGAATCATCCCAAATCTCAAGCGTCCGACAAGGTAGGTGTTCGGAGTTTAGGGATTTGGATGAGCTGACTTTAAACCTTCTCTTCTTCGATTAATATTGCTTGTGGAATGCAGAACCAGAACAAACGGCACCATCCGTTAGACTTAAACACGTTGAAAGGCCACGGTGATGCTGTTACTGGACTCTGTTTCTCATCCGATGGAAGGAGCTTGGCCACAGGTTAGCTAATCCCCGTGAAGAAGAAAGATCCTAGTTAAAACATTTTGTTGGCCAATTTTTGCTATTTTACAATTCTGATCACATTTGTTCCTGTTTCTGGGGATAGCTTGCGCTGATGGAGTGATCAGGGTGTTCAAGCTAGATGATGCCTCAAGCAAAAGCTTCAAGTATTCCTTCCTATATAAAATTTTCAATAGACGATGTTAGCCGGTGGGAGTTTACTTTCCAAGCCCATTCTCATGATCTAACTCCTTCTTTGCTTTCTAATCTCCAGATTCTTAAGGATAAATCTTCCTGCTGGAGGGCATCCAACCGCTGTGACATTTGCTGACGATGCCTCATCTATTGTTGTGGCTTGTCATCATATGTCTGGTTCATCTTTGTACATGTACGGTGAAGAAAAGCAAAAGGATCCGCAAGGGAAGCTTCCTCTTCCTAGTATCAAATGGGACCACCATCATATTCATGAGAAGAGAGCAGTCCTTACCATCTCTGGAGCTACTGCAACTTACGGTACTGCTGATGGAAGTGCTGTCATTGCCTCTTGTTCTGAAGGTATGATTTTTCCATGGCTATCATACAATTGATTTTTCTAATTTTAGCAGCATGTTGCCAAACTGTCTTTGACTGGAATGCCAGAGATACTATTCTACTTCGCATCACACTCGTAGCCGATACTAAATTAAAATTTGTGATTATAAATTGCTGAAGGGTGATTATAATTGTGTGGACCACTATCACCAATCAAATGCTTAATATAAATTCCTGTATTCCTTGTTATTCGCCAGGGACTGATATCATACTTTGGCATGGGAAAACTGGGAGGAATTTGGGACATGTTGATACAAACCAGTTGAAGAACCACATGGCAGCTGTATCCCCTAATGGCCGTTTCTTGGCAGCTGCAGCATTTACTGCAGATGTGAAGGTGAGTTTTTGTTTAAAGTCAAACCATCACGAGTGTATGTGTGACTGTATCTCATGTCTTAGTAAGTGTTTTGTAGGTGTGGGAAATTGTGTATCAGAAAGATGGTTCTGTGAAGGAGGTTTCAAGAGTAATGCAACTTAAAGGCCACAAGGTATCATTCACTACCTAAAGCATGATAATGCTTCAATCCATCTCCACGATATAGACTTTTTCTCACTTTATGCAATCGTTTCATGTTAAAACCAATGCTATGGTATCCAGAGTGCAGTGACTTGGTTATGCTTTTCTCCAAACTCAGAGAAAATCATCACCGCTTCAAAAGATGGTTCAATAAGAGTCTGGAACATCAATGGTTAGTAGAATTGTTATTAAATGTCTGCATCATTCTGATTGTTACCAAATGCAAAACAGATCCCTGGTAACACAAGGGGATCTGTTCTGGAATTTATGATAGATGGAAGGATTTTGATTTATCAAACAAATAACCTGAAAGGCGTTGTGTAATTTGGTTGCAGTCCGCTATCATCTTGATGAGGATCCAAAGACTTTGAAAGTGTTCCCGATTCCACTTTGCGACTCAGGAGGCAATATGTTGCACTATGATCGTCTCAGCTTATGCCCAGAGGGAAAGATATTGGCAGCAAGCCATGGTTCCACATTGCAGTGGTTATGTGCTGAAACTGGAAATGTCTTGGACACAGCTGAGAAAGCCCACGAAGGTGATAGATAATCTCTCAAAAATTCTGTTTGCAGGCTATTCAAAACCATACCACATACCTCAAAACTATTCAAAGCAAGTGATAGGAAATGTAACAATGTTGGTTGTATGTGTAGGGGATATCACATGCATTTCTTGGGCACCCAAGGCTATCACAGTTGGTATGTGTCTGTCTGTTTCTTTCTTGTATGGACACAGTTGTTTGTGATCTGAATCTCTTGTGGTGTTGTTGGTTCTCAGGGGAGAGACATGCCATGGTTTTAGCGACATCAGGCGATGACAAGAAAGTGAAGCTCTGGGAAGCTCCAAAGTCACAATCTTTGTAGACTCGCATACACGGAGTCCCTTGATCACATGAGGAATATTTAAACGGCACAACTTTCTAGGAAAAAAACTCTAATAGGTTTTGTTTCGAGTCCCGAGCTGGGATCAAATGAGGGGTGGTTTAAGTGTCTTATAACTTTTGAATTTTTGGATTTTGCTTATAAAGGTTGTACAATACTCACTCTTCTTCGTTTTCCAAATTTAAAAAGCACACAACAACAGTATAAGATATATGAATGGATTATAGTTACTATATGCATTTTTTTTTCTTCTTATTAGGAAAATGATGGTACATACATATAAAAATATTTATGTACCATATAAAAATGATGGTACATACAACCAAGTGAAAAATATTTCTGGACGTGGACATCTGATAGTCTGATGGGCTTTTCGGGGCAAATTAAAGAATGGGCCAGAAATATGAAAGGCCCACGTAAATCCCGAATATAACCTAAAAAGCACACTCTTTATTAACAGCCAGAAATTAGGGTTTCTCTTAGTCATCTTCAGCAGTCAGTGAGCATCCAAAGGAGAAAGAGTGAGAATCTGCCACCATGGGTCGTATGCACAGTAGAGGGTTTGTTCTTCTTCTTCTTCGCATCATAGTTACGCCAATTGTGCAATCTAACATGTCCGTATCATTTTTGTAGAAAGGGTATTTCAGCTTCTGCGTTGCCTTACAAGAGACCGCCTCCGAGCTGGCTCAAGACTACCTCTCAGGATGTAAGTTGATATCATCTCTGCTTTTACTCTGTTTGGTTGAATGAATCATGACGCCTTAAATTATTACATTTGACAGGTTGATGAATCAATCTGCAAATTTGCCAAAAAGGGGTTGACCCCTTCACAGATTGGTGTGATTCTCCGTGACTCTCACGGTATCCCTCAGGTCAAGAGTGTTACAGGAAGCAAGATCCTGAGGATACTCAAAGCCCATGGTGTGTTTTCAATTTCCCAATCTTACTCTCTGCTTTTGTCATTTTAGCTTATGATGCTAAAATGTGATAATTTTACTTGCAAGGCCTTGCTCCTGAGATCCCTGAGGATCTGTACCATCTTATTAAGAAGGCTGTTGCCATCCGTAAACATCTCGAGAGGAACAGGAAGGACAAGGATTCCAAGTTCAGGCTCATCTTGGTTGAGAGCAGGATTCACCGCCTTGCTCGCTATTACAAGAAGACCAAGAAGCTCCCTCCCGTCTGGAAGTAGTGAGTTACCTTATTCATAATCTCTTGAGGACATCTTGCTTTCAGTATCGGAAGTCACTTGTCAAAGTGGTTTGGTCTCTATATAGGTAGTTTTGTCTATATAGGTAGTTTTGTTTAGAATGGCTTATGAACTATCATTCTTGGCCACCCTTTTGCATGAATGAACCCACCTGTTCTCTATGCATTGCACTGACTTAACACTCTCCATCTGCAGCGAATCCACTACCGCGAGCACCCTTGTGGCTTAAGCTGGAGTTGGTTCACCTTTTGGGAGGAGGAAGATTCTACTAGTCTGTTGCTTCCTTTTTGTTTTGATAAAATCTGAACTTGAGTCTTCATATTTCACCAGGATTTGATGTGTTTGCCTTTTTCTTTGGAATCTTTAAACTCCCTTCTTTAAGAGAATCGTATGATCATGAATTTAATCTTTAAACTCCTTTCTTATACACATGATCATGAAATCACCAATGGAACCATCAACAACCCTTTTAAGCATTAGTATACCATTACAGCGGATTGAACTGAGAAACAAGAGATTAGGAACAAAATAGTGATGAGAGTGACAAAGAATGTAATCCCGAATTAATGGTTCATATAAATGGTTTGAGTAAAAACATATACGGAAAAGACAGGGTATGAGCCGGCCAAAGAACCAACAAAAAGAGCAAGTGTTAAAGAGTGAAACAATCACAAGAATCTCAGAATCAAAAAAGAGGCTACAAACTCAAGGCAGATGGTCAATCATCAACTTGCAGCTTTCTTTCCGCCATTGTAGTAACCCAAATACCATCTCGCAAACTTCTTGAGACCCGTCTGAAGATTGGTGGTGGGTTTGTACCCGAGCTCTCTCTGCGCGGAACTGATATTAGCATGAGTGAACTGCACATCCCCGTTCCTCGGCAACTTCATAATGTTCCTCTTGGCCTTCACTTTCAGAAGTCTCTCGAGAATGGTGACAAGATCAGTCACTGGAACGGGCGAAGTGTTGCCGAGATTGAAAACCCGTAACTGAGCCGCACCGCGCTTCTTACCACCACTACCTGTGCTCTTCTCAGCGGTGTCCAAAGCCCCCAAGCAGCCCTTGACAATGTCATCAATGTAAGTGAAGTCCCTAGCCACGGTTCCATGGTTGACCCCCTCAAAGATTGAAATGGCTTTCCCTTTGAGAATGTCTCTGGTGAAGAAGAAATAGGCCATGTCAGGCCTTCCCCAAGGACCATAGACGGTGAAAAACCTCAAGCCAGTAAGAGAAAGGCCATAGATGTGATTGTAAGTGTGAGCAATCTCTTCACCAGCTTTCTTAGTAGCAGCATAGAGACTAGCGGGTTGGTCGGTTCTGTCTTTCTCGGAGAAGGGGACTCTAGTGTTCAATCCATAGACAGAGCTAGAGGAAGCCCAGACAATGGCGGGTTGGGGATTAGCAGATTTGCAAACCTCAAGGAGATTGACGAAGCCAGCGATGTTACTGTGAACATAGGAGCTTGGATTTTCCATGGCGTACCTGACACCAGCTTGAGCAGCCAGATGCATAACGTGGGTAAAGGGGACAACTTCAAAGAGCTTCTTCAAGAGAGCAGCGTCATTGATGTCTCCTTCAACCACAAAGACTCCGCTTCTCTCCAAAAGGGCTTGCCTTGCTCTCTTTAGCGATGGATCGTAGTAATCGTTGAAGTTGTCCAGTCCCAGAACGCCATCTCCACGCCGTTTAAGAGCGGCGGAGACATGGGTACCGACGAAACCGGCGGCTCCGGTGACGAGAACAGAGAAACCGCGGCGGGTACGGACACGGGCGGAGGATCTGACCCGTTTCTCCCAAGCGGGTCCTCCCCAAGAGTAGGTACGAAGAGAACGGCGAGAAGGATCGGGATTGGAGGAAACAGGAGATCGGTAGAAGAAGATGAAGATCAAACCAACGAAGACGAGAGACCAAAAGGCGAGCTTGGCGACGGAGGATTGCCACCGGGTACGGTGGAAGTAGGGCTTGAACTTGCCAGGCGTGGAAGGAATATCATCAAGATGCGACATTTGCTTCATTGGGAAGAATATTTACCTCCCCAGAGAATCTTCTTCTTCTTCTTCTTCTTCTTCTTTGAGGTTTCTTTCTTTTCTTGGATTGGTTTGTTTGGTGAGAGAGTTTATAGGCTCTCCGAATTGAAAGGGAAGATCATGAATTTCAAGATTTTGTTTCTGAGTCTCTCTCTATTTTTGGGGCTTTTTCCTTAAATTTATTTCTTTTTCTATTTTCTCTCTCGAAAATGTACAAAAACTATGAGATTTACACACAGAGAAGAAGATGGTCAAAGAGGAAGAGATTATGAGGATTTAAGGGAGAGTCAAAGCAGCTACTCCTCTAGTTTATCACTCTAGTCTTCCAGAGGTTTAGTTTCACACTTGATTAATTAGTTATTATCTTCTTAATTTAGGTAGATTAACTTTTGGTTTTGTAATCAATGAAGCTTTGATCATTCTTGAAGATGGATCTTTTTTGGCCCGCCCTTTACTATCTTAGTTTAGGGTTCTTAATGAATTATGGCAACAAATGTATGTATAATAGCTTTCTGATTCTAATCGAATCACCAATCAAATACTGACTGATTCATCAAATTCGATGCACTAACATCTATAGCTCCTTGTAAAATACTACCAGGATTACAAAATTACGCACACAAATACATGTTTAGGTGCTGCCCAAGGTCGTCGTCACGTGCAACGCCTTACTCGTAACATGCATGTTTAGGGAATAATTAAATCAAACTTGCAACTTAATACCGAGGCACATTGATTTACCCATGGGGTACAAAAAAGCAAAGAGTAATCTTCAAGGAATAATAATATAACAACACGCATCTACTAGGCTGCATATCTTATATAATATCCATCAAAGCTCTATTTCATTCTTCAAATTTCCATTATCACTTATTGTAAGATAAAAAAACACATAACGATATTGATTTATAGCGACTAGTGAGTGAGTCCGGGTAAATGCATGTGGAAAGGCACAAACACTACGTAGAAAATGTCTTTTATGATGATGTTGTGCAAAAGAGAGCTTAGCTTAGCAAAGGTCTTTAGCGGCTGCAACAACCGCATCAACCGTGAGTCCAAATTTCTTGTAGAGCACATCCGCTGGTGCACTTGCTCCAAAACTGTCTACACCGATGGCTTTTCCTTTGGAGCCAACCATCTTCTCCCACCCAAAGGTCGACCCTGCTTCAATGCTCACTCTTGCTGAAACCTCTGAAGGTAACACACTTTCTTTGTATTCTTCGCTTTGTTCATCAAACAGCTCCCAACTCACCAGTGACACTACTCTCACTGCTCTTCCTTCTTCTCTTAGCTTCTCTCCAGCCTTTGCAGCAATCTCTAGCTCCGAACCTGTCCCCATCAGGATTACGTCTGGTTTGTTACCTGTGGAGTTGTCTGAGATTACATATCCCCCCTTCTCCACTCCCTCAACCGAAGTTCCAGGTAGATGAAGCAGCTTTTGTCTGGACAGAGCCAGGATCGAAGGCCTCTTTCTGTTCTCTACAGCAACTTTGTATGCCCCTGCAGTTTCAGTTCCATCCGCTGGCCTCAGCATCAAGATGTTGGGCATGGCACGGAAGCTCGCCACATGTTCTATAGGCTGGTGGGTCGGTCCATCTTCTCCAAGACCGATTGAATCATGGGTCATTACGTAGATAACCCCTGCTTGAGACAGGGCAGAGAGCCTGATGGCAGCTCTCATGTAATCTGTGAAGACAAAGAATGTAGCACAGTAAGGGATGAGCCCCGGGCTGTGACAGGTTATGCCATTGCAGATAGCTCCCATGCTGTGTTCCCTGACACCAAACCTAAGGTTTCTCTCTTCAGGTGCGTTCTTTTGGAAGTCCCCAAACATTTTGAGCAATGTCATGTTGGATGAAGCAAGGTCAGCACTCCCACCGAGGAACCCAGGAAGAACCTTTGCAAGGGCATTAAGACACTGTTGAGAGAGGTTTCTTGTTGCATCTGCAGGACTCTCGGGCGTGTAAGTCTGGTAAAAGAGGAGAATAGAACCATATTAATCCCACCACAGAGATTGACTCGACATTTTAACATCATGTTACATTCTAATATTGCTCTTAACATTCCTTTTTCATAGATTGAAGTTGATAAAGTTTTATTCCCCTTTGCTCTTGATATTTCAATTTTCGGAGTTAGGTTTAAAAACAAATAGATTATTCAGGCTTACCGGCAATGATTTTTCCCAGCCAGTAGGTAAGTTAACAGTAACTATGGATTTCAGTTCTGCAGCTTCTTGTGGGTACTTGTTCTCATAGTCAGCAAACTTAGCATTCCATTCTGTTTCAAGAGCAGCTCCTTTAGGGATATGACGACTCCAGTGGCTGCAAAAAGTGTGCCATTAACATCATAGTAACTTCTGTACATGACAACATGCTCAGTTAAAGCGACTAACCTCTTGACATCTTCAGGAACATGGAAAGGCCCATATGGCCATCCAAGATTCTTTCTGGTAGCATCAACTTCTTTTTCACCCAGTGCACTTCCGTGAACACTGTAAGAATTTGCCTTGTTTGGTGATCCGTAACCAATTGTTGTAGTTATCTGCGCATTTCAAGAAATGAACAGAATGTTGCATTTATATAACAACAAAATCCATAACCAAGACAAGGGTGTTTTGACTGCTGCAGTAGATAACTTAAGTAAGAGAAATAAGAAGATGGCTTACCTTGATCAAAGTGGGTTTGTCTTTAACAGCCTTAGCTTCCTTAATGGCAGCACGAATTTCATCATAAGCGGTGTTTCCATTCTTGACCCATATAACATGCCAACCAAGACCCTGGAAACGTGTTTCCACATTCTCGGTAAAGGCAATCTCCGTGTCACCGTCAATAGAAATGTGGTTGTCATCATAAAAGGCAATGAGCTTCCCCAGACCCCAGTGCCCTGCAAGAGAACAAGCTTCATTTGCAATTCCTTCCATCTGACATCCATCTCCGAGAATAGCATACCTAGGAAAAGCTGAAGTCAGTTCCTTCCAATGTGAAAAAAAAAAAAAAAAAGCCACGAGAGCATATAGTATCTTACGTGTAATGGTCGACAATCTGATTGCCAGGTTTGTTGAATCTGGCAGCCAAATGCTTCTCCGCAAGTGCCAAACCAACAGCATTTGCAATTCCTTGCCCAAGTGGACCTATACAGAAGAAGAAAACATAGTAGCTAGTCATATCCAAGGATGAAGAATTGCTTAAAAGCTTTTGAGTAAAATCCAAAAAAGAAAAGAAAGAAACCAGTGGTGACTTCAACACCAGGAGTCTCAAAATTCTCGGGATGTCCTGGAGTCCTACTTCCCCACTGACGGAAATTCTTCAAATCATCTTCCTATTCACAAACCCAGAATATATGTATGTTAGAATCAGATCCTTCAAAAATAATCAGATCATTGACATACCCTGACACTGTCGTAGCCAGCGAGGTGAAGCAAGGCGTACTGGAGCATGCAACCATGACCGGCAGACAAAATGAAACGATCTCTGTTGAACCAGTAAGGGTTCTTTGGGTTGTATTGCATCACTTCGTCGAACAATATATGGCCCATCGGGGCACATCCCATAGGCAGTCCCGGGTGACCCGATTTGGCTTTCTCCACCGCATCGATCGCCAGGAACCTGATCGTATTGACCGATTTGTCTACCAGAGACACGTCCGTCGCGGCGGCGGATATCGGAAGAAGGAGGCGGCGGCGGCGGCGGAGCGTAGGGGAAGAAGAGCGAGTGAAGGAGGCTCTGAGAGCGGAAAAAGAAGGGAGAGAAAGGGAAACATGGAGATCCGTAGGAGGGAGAGGAGGAGAAGAACGATTCGATGAAGGTCGAGCGAGGATAGAAGCCTGTGATGATGAAGTCAGAGACGCCATTTTTGAGAGAGATTGCTGTTGCCTGCCGACGAGGCGAATATTGTTTGTTATATGCAAAGTGATGACAAACAATATTCGCCTATTTCAAACGCGGCTCGACGAGGCCGGTTTGGTGCAACAACCCCCGTCTATTTCATAACGCCGTTACTTTGTATCTCACTTTGGGCCCAAAAGCCCAATATTTTTAATCACTTACGTTCTATTTAGGAATATTTATGACAAATGTAGAGGTTTCAAAGATCATTAATTATTCTAAAACTCTTGTTGGATGCTTAATTCAAAATAACTACCACATGCATCTCTTTTTTTTTGAATAACCGCGGGTCTCCCAAAGATTTTCTAGGCCCAAAGACTAATCCCACGAGGCTGACAATTCCCCTATGTAAACATGCCAGTGGTCGTGCCTCGAACCATGCATCTCTTAGTTGTTTTTTTTTTTTTTTTTAAACGGGCTTTTCATTAAAGGGCCCCTTCCCAAAATGGGCTTTGGCCCGAGAACATACATCCAACAACACAGGTACAAAATGCAAAACGGAAACCCTAAATCGACGCCGGAAAAGAAGCTCTTGGCCTGGTGGACAACGTGAAACAGGGAGTCCGACACAGAAACGCCGGCAGAAGCAAGGTCCACAACATTGCGGCGGAATCGACGGATCCAGAACGTTGACGGGAGCTTCTGATTCCCGGCGACGTGCCTTCTCCGACGACCTACCAACCCGCCACAAACCTCCCAGCAAGGTCAACTCCCCGACAACACGAGCCGCCGATGACAGCTCCCCTTCCTAGCTAGCCGCCACACTCAGCCATAACCCTTCTTTCCCGATCCCGACGACTTCCCGACTCACAGAGAAGCGAACCTATCAATCCGGCCAAGGAGGAAGCAAAAACGCGGCGGCAGCAAACTCCGGAGGCTCAATCCCGAAGAAAGACACCGTACTCCACGCCAGCCAACTAGGACCCAAAGATCCACGGTTAACCTCCACGGCAAACGACTAACCCACCTTCTCCTTGACGACTTCCGCCGCTGTCGCAGCGGCCGGCGCAACGGGTGAGCGACGAGAAGATCCGCTGCCCATACCGGCGTCCTCAACCAGACAGGATCCGCAGCAGATCTCCTCTCCGGCACACCGGAGCCACAACAAACATCGATCCGGAGAGAACCACACCACCGCCGACGGAGAAAGGAACGCTCTCACCCCTGAGCACCGGAGGCAGGCTCGAGACCGGCGGTGAAGGACTGAAGAAAACTAAAAAACCTAGATCTACTTACGTGTGTTGTTTGAAACGGATACACTCCTCGATCGATCGACCTTATCAAGGTCAAGATGCTAACCAAATCACGACGATCACTTTTGGCCGGCGTTCCATCAAGACAGAGTTATCTCACTTTGCTTCTTTTCAATTTTTATATTTAAAGTTTCTTTCTAAATTTCTTCATTATATATATATATGTTGTAATTAATACCCTTTATTTTTTTTTCTCAAATGTTTCATTATTCTCCAATATGGAAACCCTCTTGAGTCTTGAGGATAATTAAATGGTTCCTTCTCGATGGGGTGGATGATTTTTAATATAAGGGCATAATAATCGTTCAATATATATATGACTTACTTAGCGTTAATGGTAGTCGCATAGTGCTTAAATCAACGACGAGTTTAAAGTCACAAAATTTGAGTCTCGGCGATGAAATTGAGTGCCACAAGTTTCAATTGTTTTTTGCTAATCCCTATATATCTATAACCTACACTCATCAGATTCAGATATATAATTGATTCAAATTATAGTTAAACAAGTACTATTTGATATATATATTCTTCATCGGAAATTAATTTGCAGGCCAAAGCTTGCATACAAACTGATCAAACCCTAACCCCTCTTACCTCCATACGAAGAAATACAATCAATAATTCAATATCATTATTCACCAATGCATATGATATCAAGATAAAAGACTTGGTACACAATTATCATTTATCTTACAATAATAATACCCATACAATCTTGGATCGAATCCTTATGCATCTATATATATATATATTACTATATATTATATATATCAACATGGAAAAGGTTGAGTTAACGACACCACAGGTCTAGCTAGCGAGCTTCTGCGTAGTTCATCAGGGTTGGGAGTTGTGGTAATAACAAAGGTAAGAGGGGTCAGCCATAGGAGCTCCAATCTGAGAGTGAGGCTGAAGAATCCTCACCTGCCGTTTCAAGAACTTGGTGTAACGGATGGCTTCGTCTAGCATCGAAGCTGTGTCCATCTTTGCACCGCCAGGCACGATCCTCTTAAGAATTCGGATCTTCTCGCTGATCCTTTCCCGACGCCGACGAGCAACCACCGTCTGAGGATCGTCGCTTATCTTTACGTTACGGCGGTTCGGCTTAGGGACGGTGGCAGGGTCGATGTCTACGGGCTGCATGACGGCGATCATGTACTGCATCTCCTTCATAGCATCCATGTCTTCATCGTACTCTTCGTCTTCTTCCAAGTGAATTAGGGTTTCGGGAGGTGGATCTAACATGAGATGAGGATCATGGAGAAAAGCTGCGTGTTCTTGTGTGATAAGATCATTAGCTTTGTTCCAATCCATGAGGAGTTGATGAGGCTGAGGCTCCATCATGCTTCTTTTGGGGCTGTGGTTGGATCTGCTTTTGGACAAGACACAAGAGTCGCACAGTCCTTTCTTTTTATACTTACCATTTTCCATTTTCATCTTTTCTTTTTTCTCAATGAATATATTCTCTTTCCAGAAATATACACATATGTATTTACTGATATCTTTGACTCCATTAATTAATTATTTTACTTCATATGTCTCATTTTATAATATTTTTTAACCTTTTTATCTCTTTTAATTGATTAGATGTTTTGTAAGTTTATATGTAAATTTTTAATTTATTTAACATTTTGTTATTATTTTTATGTGGTTGCATGGTTTTAAATTAATTCCTATGTAAAATGTCCTTGAATTAAAAAATTGAAACTTTTGAAAAGGATTTTAACCCAACCAGGACATTAATATTTATATAGGTTAAGTATACAAAATTTTCCGAGATTCAAACTTGCTTCATGTTGAGGTGTCTACTAGTCAAGCTTGCTTGGGTTTAATTATTGAACTAATTTATGTTGTCATGTCCCGTGGTCTGTATTTTTCGGACTAAATTTTGCGTTTGAAAATAGTTAATTTTGTATGTCTTAGATGTTAAATTTTTTAGTAAGTATTTCCAAGTATGGTTGCTCAAACTAATATACTGATTCCCAATATCGATCAGTTCTTTTTATGTAAAACAAAAACAAAAAACAAAATTTTAAGTTTTAACCCACATTATACGTCAAAGAAATTAATTAGTTTCAAAATACAAGATTTTAACACAAACAATAGTACAACTACCACCGATATTTTTTTAACCTGACAAACCTTTTCTTGAATATACTTTCTCCGTTTTTTTATAAGTGATGTTTTAAACTTTTAGTTTTGTTCTTAAATAAATGATGTTTTCAATTTTTAATGCAAAATTAATTACTTTTTTATTGGTTTTGAAGATTTATATTTTGTATATTATTTTTTTATTGGTTGATTAGATAATAAATGATGTTTTAGTTTAGAAATAAACAAAAATTAAATAATGTTTTAATCTATCTGCGTTCTCCTAAAATATCACTTATAAAATAACGGAAATAATATATTATTATTTATTGTGAAAACAAAAAGGTGATGACATCATCGTGACATGGCCCAGCCTGAACAATTTTAATTAGATATATAAAAAATTGTTATTATATAAATATCATTATATATTACTTCATTCTATTTAAAATTATATAACTCATGTTTAATTCTGGAATTGTTTTCAGCTTTTCATAACTGTTAATTTTGTTAATAATGTTTCGTAAATTATCATTTTAAAATATATCCTAGAATTCTAATTAATTATAGTGTTGTGTGAAATGAAGAGTTCGACACATAATTAACTAGCCAAAATTCCGTACATGTGATTAATTTGGCAAAAGGAAACTAAAGAGAATATCATCAGATCATGATTAAAGCTAAGTTTTGCACCAAAATTATATATTGCCGTTTACAGACTCGATATATTTCTACCTTTTTGGCTAACTAATTTCATGGACTCATTTGTGCTAGTTTATATAAACCTTGTTATAACCATTTAAATTTGTATACGTACGTACGGAGCAATACAAGAAACACATATAAAGCAAAATCCTATAGACCACAAAAGATAGAAGAAATAGTGTGTGGTCAAAATCATGGTTACTCAAAAAGAAAGATCAAGAACAAGGGATTAAATTTCTAGGGTTTTTCCTAAGGACGAAGAAGGAGAGAGACTTTACGAAATTAGGGCAAAAAAGGAGCGTTGCACTTTGGTGTGGATATCATTGCCATAAGGAAGCATAAGTCGCTCTTGTAATAGTTACTCAACACATGTCTCCATTTTTAGTGCTCATTATTTTGACCTAATTTTCTTCTCTCTCTCCTCTTCTGACAACTCCTATACACCAAAATAGGCAATTTAACATCATTGTTCTTCTATTTCTTGTCTTTCTTCTAAAACCCACGGTTTCTTCGACATTTTCTTACAAGCCCTTTTAACGGCCTTGATTTGATCTTAGCTAGGATCAGTGGCGGACCTAGAAATATTTATTAGGGGGGTCAAAATATCACTAAAATAATTAATAATTTTTAAAACAATAAAAAAGCAAAAAACACTTTAAAAAAAAACACATTTTAGGTTCAATATTTATGGGTGAAGCAAACAAAAAAGGTAAAAATATGTGATGAATTGTATTAAAAAAAGTAAGAAGTAAAAAACTATTATAAAATTTAAAGGGTTTAAATACAAATTAATAATTTTTAGAGGGTCATAACAGAAGAAATATAAACAATACTATGAATCTTAAAGGACTGTAACATAATTTCAGAATTTTAGGAGGGTCAAAAGAGAAAGAAATATAAACAATACTACAAATCTTAAAGGACTATAACACAATTTAAGAATTTTAGGTGGGTCAGCTGACCCCCTTTAAGTCTTAGTAGGTCCGCCCCTGGCTAGGATATATGAGCTGGATAGGATAAATGACTTCTTCAACGTTCTCTTTATGATTTATGGTGTCAATTTCTAGTTCTTAAGTTGTTTTATTTGACGATTTTACGGGATCTCTCCCCCATAACTCATTACACGAAGTGGGGACGTCTTCATCGACATTAAGGTATTGTCCATGGTTTAAATTCTCAATTGGATAAGTAAACTTATAATCACCACTAAATTATATATATACTAATTAATCGGTCTATTAAGATACCGTCTAAAAATGTCGTTGTCAAACATGAAATTTCTATATGTTGCGTTCATTTCATAGGTATAAAATCAAAAAGCTATAAACATAAATTTTCAAAAGGAGATAGAAACCTCACATCTTCTTTTCACATTTCCTTTAATGAGTTCAAGACAAAATACCCCGTTTCATGCATTAATGTTCATACTTGTTATAAATTCATCAACAATATACTATTACTATGCAACATCAATTAATTATAGGCTTCCTACTTTCGTCCTTTTTATTAGTTAGAGCACCATTAATGGTAAGCTCTTAGATGAAATCTTAGGTTAAAGTTAATTAAAATTAAATGATAAATCAGAGTTAAAGCTAAGCAACGTTGCTTAGCTAAGGAACGTTGGTTAATCTAAGAGGCGAGACACGTGGCTGTATTGTGTAAAACAAAAGAGAGAAATTTTTTTTGATCTCTCTCTTTGCCGACTGCGAAAACAGATCTATTAGTTTTGATCTGTGTCTGAGAAATTTCGATCTGGGCTTGACTAAGATTAAGCATCTGATGACTTTCTTGTTTTTTTCATCTAAGAAAAGCAAAACGGCGGCGAAGATGGATGTGGCTCGGATAAAGCTTATAAGGAACAAGAGATTAGTTGTGGTGAAGCAAATGAGGCGTGACATCGATGTTCTTCTTCAATCCGGTCAAAATGCCACCGCTTGAATCAGAGTATCACTTTCGTGCTTCACTTTTTAAGAGTTTTTTCCCTGCAATTTTCAATTCAATGAAGATTTTGCTTTGTAAGTTATTAATCTCAAATTTTTGTTGTGTATCGATGCTCGATCCTCCGGATTTCGCATCAAACAGAAGATTTATCGAGAAATGAATGATACAGACTGTTAGTCTAAAATCGTTTGTGATAATCTGAATTATCTTGATGGGTTTTTGTTGATTTAGTCGTAGTAGAATCTGATGTTGAATCTTTGAGTGATTATTCGTATTATCAGCATCACTAGTTAAAGATTCTATCTTGATTTAGACGTGGAAGTCATGAAAATTGATTAACAAGATTCTAACCTTTGGTTCTGTTTTGCTTTGTTTATTAGATGAATGGACAAGAAGAAGTGAAAAGGAATCAAGCATGGAGAGTTTAAGTGTTTGGACTTATACTTGTCTTATGTTCTCAGTCTTTTAGTTAATGATCTATGTCTCTCTACTCATTATCTCAAAGGAATAAAGCATGGAGAGTTTATCTTGACATCACAAGTTTTTCTGGTTCATGGCAATGATGATTATGGTCTTGAATTGTTGTGCTTTCACTATGTTTGTGAAGTTGGTGCCATAATGTTACCTATTATTAAGCCTTCCTGTCAAAACAGAAGATGGATTTGCCTTAACTAAGGTGTTGTGCATTGATCGACTGTTCTTCATGCACATCAAGCATGGATTTCAAGGACTTGGATGCAAACATGTTTCTACCCAAATGGAAATTTTCTGCTTGCTGCTTCTTCCTATCGTCAACTTGATATGTTTTGTGATTGTTTGAATGATTGCACACAACAAAACATTATTTTTATATGATGTATTTGTGTTCTTTTCCTAGTTTGTGATCTTGTACCTAACTCTTTATTTTTTCCATATATACAATATTTTTGTTTTACAAAAAACACAAACACTTCTCTCCATCTCATCAAAACACTCTTTCATTGCTATATATGTATTGTAACCAAAATTTTAAGAACACTTTTAAGAACAAAAAAAAACACTTCAAATTTAACCAAAACATTTAACCAAAATATTTAAACTTTAAAAATTAAGTTTTCATTTGCAACACATCAAGAAGCTTGCCGTAAGTATATCGAGCGTGCTTTTGGAGTTTTGCAAGCTCGATTTGCCATTGTCAAAAATCCTATTCTTAGTTGGGATAAGGTAAAAATAGGAAATATTATGCGAGCATGTATAATACTTCACAATATGATAGTAGAAGACGAACGAGATAGGTATACTCAGTATGATACTACCGAATTCGAACAAGCGGAATCTACAGGAAGTTCACGGGTGGATTTCACATATTCTACAGATATGCCTTCTAATTTCTTCGATAATAGAGCTCGAGTTCGTGATCGAGGTATGCATCAACAATTGAAGAATGATTTGGTCGAGCATATATGGACAAAATATAGAAGAAATTAAGTTTAAAACATTTGTGCTTTATGTTATTTATGTTAGAAATTGTATCTTATGTATGTTTTAATTTTTTTTAATTTGCAACAATTATTAAATTTTCTATAATTATAAATTTTATTTTTATATTAATATTTTATTTTCTAAGAACCACGTGTTAAGAGCCTACCATTAATCACACAAAAATTATAACTCAAAAATACTATCTCTTAACAATCACTTTTACAAATAAATTATTTAAATATTACTAAGATCTATTGCTAAGAGTCTACCTATAATCATGCTCTTAATATAACACTTGCAATTGGAGTAACTCTTACAATGAGAGTGAATAATCTTATTATAAAACTTCAAAATGATGAGAATTTTTTTGCTTACGGTGACATTAACAGAAGCTTTTTCTTTGTTGATACATATATCCATCTATTTTCTAGTTGTTTTGGGAAACACTAGACATGGCATATATACTTCCCGAAAACTCTATGAAGCTTAACTCAAGAAAATTGGGGAAAAGGTTAGAAAAGATATGGTGTATTTGAAATGTTTCTAAAGGAGAGAGAATGAAGTTTCCGAATGTCATGTGTTGGGTTGTGATACACTCACTCTTGAGTCTTGATACCTATGCCTACTCCCCTTGACTATGGGATGGTTAAGGAACACGCTTAAAGGGTAGTTTTGTGTCTCTTGTATAAGAGAGGTGAAGTAGCGGAAGCTTTAAGGATAGAACTAGAGATCCGTTGATTCCTCGGAATACCGAAAAACTAGGGTTTCTCGGATCTGTTGATTCCTCAGAATACCAGAAACGAGAGAACTTGAGGAATTCGTTGATTCTCCGTGAATACCGAATCCTACGCCTTCTTATAATCGTTGAGATCTCTCAAGATCTACCGAAAACAAGGGTTAGAGAATACTCTTCTCTGAAAAACTAAAAGCTCTTTAATTTTATTAATCAAATCAATTGTATACAACCCTAGGCCTAAAAGCCTTATTTATAATAAATCTAAAAACTCTAGAATATTCATAAAACAATAAATAGAAATTATCTAAATAAGTAAATAAAGATATTAGGAAATAATAAAGATATTTGGAATTATCCAAATATACACTGCATCAGGTCTCGCCGGCCAAGAAAAGATTCGTCCTCGAATCTTGTATCTGCGCTGCATCAGCTCTCGCCGGCCAAGAAAGATTCGTCCTCGAATCCTCAACAAAGCTTTTAGCATAGGAGATCTTCGCAGATCCATCTTTATCTTCATCTCTTGATTTTCCCCGATTTTTGCACGAATCTCGTCAGGCCCGATTTTCGCACGAGTTAGATTCTCGAACGCATCTTCTGGAAAAACGAAATCAATAACTATAACATCATCTTCATAGATGTCATAGATGGGATCACCATAGATCTCTCTGTAGATCTCATGGTTTTCTTCTTCTTCAAAAAACAGACTTTCGCCTGGGATAGGGTAGACGTTTCCGGTCAACATGACATCCAGAATCGAGCCTTGACTTAGAAATCAAAACCATGTCTCTGATACCAACTGAAGTAGCAGAAGCTTTAAGGATAGAACTAGAGATCCGTTGATTCCTCGGAATACCGGAAACGAGAGAACGTGAGGAATTCGTTGATTCTCCGTGAATACCGAATCCTACATCTTCTTATAATCGTTGAGATCTCTCAAGATCTACCGAAAACAAGGGTTAGAGAATACTTTTCTCTGAAAAGCTAAAAGCTCTTTAATTTTATTAATCAAATCATCTGTATACAACCCTAGGCCTAAAAGCCTTATTTATAATAAATCTAAAAACTCTACAATATTCATAAAACAATAAATAGAAATTATCTAAATAAGTAAATAAAGATATTAGGAAATAATAAAGATATTTGGAATTATTCAAATATACACTGCATCAGGTCTCGCCGGCCAAGAAAAGATTCGTCCTCGAATCTTGTATATGCGCTGCATCAAGAGGCAAGTCCCCGGCCGGTGAAGGCTTTCATCGGCTGCAATCAACTTATTCTACTTCTACTTTATAGTTTAGACATCCAATTTACAGTTTGAACTGATAGAGAATTACAAACCTTATTAATGTTGACTTCTCACAAGAAGAGAGAAAACAAAAGTTTGGAGAATCATCATAAACTAGTAGTCACCCAAATTCACAGCCTAAATTACACATTACCCATCAAGATTCTTTCAACAAGCGACATCGCGAAACAATCTTCCTGAACTCATCTAAGCTTAGCTGAAACCAAAAATTAAAGAGAAAATCCCAGTGTTTAGCATTAATGTTTCTCATAAACGTGAATAAGTTCAACTTAGTAATAGTACCCACCTTTCCGTCCTTGTCCATGTCAAAGCAACGAATCATGTCTTGTAATTCCTCTTGTGTCCATGTGAAGTCATGCACCGTCGCCATTTTGGCCACATCTCTCAGAGTAATGAACCCTTTTCCAGCTTCTGCGTGTAACAAAAACCGATGATGATCCAATACAGCCAGAGACTCAGTGGAAACGCAAAAGATAGCAAATGGCACAAGCAGATATATTACCATCAAACTGATAGAAGTATAAGACCAATTCATCCTGTGTCATCTGCATCTTGCTCATCAAATCCTAGGAATGAGACAAGAGCAATGCACATTAAGGACATACTCCAAGACAGTTGAGTTCAGTAATACTTGATGTAAGAAAAAAACAAACCGGTGTTTTCTTCTTCTTCAAAGTTGCAGCCTCTTTATCGTTTCTCATAGTTTTGGTAGGGGTAGTACGACTATGAGAGCCTCCTGCAACAGAGTCCTGTAGAGAAAGCGCAATTGCCTGCAAGCACTCAAATTGGTACCCCAGAAAAAGAAACAAATGGTCATGTCTATGTCGATTTTGAAGCAATCCAATTAGCAGTATTACAAAGTGAATACCTTGTCTAAGTCATCGTACTCATCATCTGATGTATTCAAAATCTTCTTAGATAAGACTTTTCTCTTGGATGCAGAGGCCTTGTTCGTCACAAGAAATCATAAAAGAAGACACAATTACAAATGCCAGAGACATTCACTACTCCTACCTACAAAATAGTTGAAACAAGCAAAATTATTACCTTTCTTTTACAAGTTGAATTACCCAGAAACTCCTCGTCTTCGTCATCATCATCGGCGTTTCCGGGAGTATAATCATCGTCTTGTTCACCGGAATTCCGCTTTACTCTACGTTTTTTCGAAATTGGAGATGGAGCCACAAGAGCCTTGGCGGCTTTAGAGATGCCGAGCGCATCCAACCTCGCTTTGTTCTCAGCGATCCTAGAGAACCTCTGCTTCTCATATTCCGAGATCTTCCCCTTTGGCTCCGATTCTTCGCCGGAACTTCCTGAGCTCTCTCCATCCGATTCTCCCCTCGCCATTGAATTAGCCAATTAGGGATTTGTTGATTTTTGCCGCCTCCAACGATCGTTTAAGCTGGGCCCATATTAAGATTTCAGCCCAACTACTTGGGCTCTCTCTAATAACGAATTTAGAAAACCCAATAGCCGATTATGTTGGGCTTTAACTTGGGCCCATATTAAGATATGTTGTCACTTTTTCCATTTTCCATTTTCCATTTATACATGTACATGATACAACGAACATCAAATACATTTGTGTTCTTGTGATGGTCAAATTCTTGAGTGTGGAGGACATATTCAAGGATTGGACACACATCGGAAACAAAATTTGTATATGTTGAGTGTCCACCGCATTTTAAAAGTATGTATATACAATAGTGTAGGAATATTTTATGTATTTTGTTTATGGCGATTTGAGACAAATACAAATATCAAAAACTATTTCAAAGATAATTTGGCCAACCCTAATAATATATACGATCCATACAAAAGAAGAAAGTTTCCACCTTTCCTTCTATCTTATGAAGGAAGGAGAGAGCGCAATGCGAATGGTGTGAAACCTGTGATTGCTAGATAATGAATGGCCTCCACCAACTTTCTCTTCTTCTTCTTTCTTTTTTTTTTGTCTTTATTATTTTATATTTAACTTTTCTTATTTTGTCATCAATATTGTTTGATATATATAAAAGAAAATTTAGTGGGGATGGAAATACCGCGTTGTTTATAAGCTGACTTGACTTGTAAATGGATAAAGCAAGAAAAAGGCCAAAAAGAGAAACACAAAAGATTAAAGATAAGAATCAAAAAAACATGTTACTGATTTTCAAAGATATATGTACATGAGTCTGTCTGGTCTATGTATATATTTCATAAATAGCTTAACATATATGGAGCTAGATAATAATTAAGTATAACAATATAAAGACATGCATAGAGATGGATATAAACATGTGTAATCTTCTCCTGCATATGATCTAACATTAATAAACGATTCCATTGTTACTATAGTACGTTGAATCTTGAATTAGAGTAGAGTTTGCTTCTTGAAATAAAATTGACTAACTAAAAAAATAAAATGAATTACTTATTTACTTGTAAAGTGAGAGGTTGAGAGAGAAGATATGGTGGGCAAGCTTGGCATCTAGAAAAGGTGAGATAGAGATTGAAAGAGAGTTAAAATTGTATTAAAAGCTTGTCTCATTAAATTTATTTATTTAACAATAAATAAACACGAGTAAGAAAAGAATTTTACAATTAAAAAAAAAATACATTTTTAACTTTTGTTATGCACACAAAAACACAACCATCAATGTCAGAGACCCTCGCTCTCCACCTTTATATATAACTTTTTTAGGGGGTCGGAACTATATAATCTTTTGTTAGTATATACTTATTTTGTCAAATTCAAATGTTTATAAATCATATATATTAAACACATATTTGGTACTCGCTTTGGATTTTATCATTTTAATTACAGTTTGTATATGTATATATACTCTTATTAATATGATTGAACTAACAACTAATTTGACTAAAATGCGTCATCATATGTTAGGTTGAAATAATGATCTCTTACATACCACTTTGAAAAGGGTCGAGGATGCATGATACGTTCCACCATCCGGTGGCTTTCGTTGATCACAATGTTTGAGATTAAGTTAGTGCCAACTAGGCCTGCGACTTTGAACCGATCGGTTAATTCGGTTTCGGTTAATCGGGTTTTCGGATTATTCGGAAAATGAATTATGTACCGAACAAATCAACTAACAATTTCGGTTCAGTTTGGTTCAGACACGGTTATTTTGTTTTTTTTTCACTTCGATTATTTTAGTTTTGTGACGACAAAGTTCATGGCGGTTTTCCGGCGGCTAGTACAGAGCATATCAGAGTCTGAGACTTAATCACCTCGTTCAATGGAGAAAGAAACCATCGCGAGAGGCGGATCTGCTGTTTCGTGAAGCATCTATCTCCGATCCGACAGAGGATGCGAGAGGATGGATCTGTCCTTCCCGCAGCAGCGAGTGTGCTCCTCGAATCGCTCGATGCCGTTAATCACCATCCTCGACGCAGTCCAGAAGATCGATAGGTTTTTGATATTCTCAGAATCGAAGAATCGAGGAAGGAGAAGAATAGGAGAAGAAAAAATCGAAGAAAAAGAAGAAAAGAAGAAGAAAGAGAAGAAAAAGAAAAATCTGAGGAAGGGGAAAAGAAAAAACGAAGAAAAAGAGTGTTGGAGACTGGATTAGTGTTAGGTTAGGTTAGGTTAGGGTATTATTTTTCGGTTAACCGTTCGGTTCTAGCGAAACGAACCGAAAAATTTTGGTTAACCAAAATAATTTTAAATCTTTCTGATCGGTTTAACCTAATTAATAGAAACCAAACCGATTTGCTCAAACCTCGGTTCGGTTCGGTTTGGTTTGGACAAAGTTTAGAAACCAATTGTTGGAATTTTATACATACACACTTACCGCATAACATGGCATTATTCATATTGCTTGTGATTTTGGACTTAAAAAGTCATTAACAACTAATAATAAAATAATTTAACAAAACAGTGGGAAGATGGAAGACAGATGTTAGCTAATTAAAGTCTGATTATAACAAAATCAAAATCTCCCTAACTCCTAGGAGAGTCTTCTTCGAGACAAAAGTACATGCGGGGTCTGAAAGATAAAAGAAAAATTATAACTCAATTAGTTGGAGGACAAAAAAGCTGCTTATTTTATCATCATTTAACTTTTTGTAAGCAATATATAGCCAATCGTTTTACATTTCTTAGTAATATATCACACATTTAAAAGATGAAACCCAGCAAACCAAACAAAAGGAAGAGAAAGGTTGATAGCTTTCTAATATGTATTTCCCTTCCATATCAAGATGCTTCGGTGTGTGATGTGCCATCTAGAAAATGCTTACACAAAATAGTAATTTGTTAGAAATATATGTAAATATCTATGGAACATACAAAATATTAATATTGTTAAGTCTTTATTTTTATTTGATATTGGTTTTAGCTATAAAACTAAAATAAAATGTGAACTAATTTATCTTCTTTACTAAATAGTTGTATCTTAAAATTACACTATTAGTTTCTATATTTTCTTGGTTTATATATATTGAATGATTCTGAGGTCCGAAGTTCGATCCTAGTGATTACATCAATGATCATTTTTTTGTTTTTTCTGGCAAACTAATGATCATAAAATTTTAATTATAAGATTTGCGTATGAACCAGTCAATGTTTCTAATTTGAATCTACTGCCCAAATTAATGTTTCTAATTTGTTTCTAATTAGTCAATGTTTCTAATTACTGCCCAAATTTCATCAAACGGTTAGCATTTGAATCTACGAAATGTGATGATGACTGAATACGTCGGCGAGTCTTAGTGGGGCCGAGCGCGCGTTACCCACGGACTTGCTTGTTGCGTTACTTAAAGCTTGACTGGTTTAAATACAGTAGGTTGTGATTAAGAGAGTTTGCGAAAGCAGGCGGTTGCGGTTTTAAACATTAGTTAGCATTTTTGACCGACTGATTTATCGGTTGAAAACGGGTAATCGGTCAAAAACAGGTGAGTTTGCGGGAGATTTATGACTGGTTGATCAGCGGGTACCATAACGTTTAAACCAAAATTTATTAAAATAAATGGAATATATAATTATGAAAAGTATAAAAACACCAAAAACTATATTTATGAAAAAATATAAAAAAATTAAACTTGATAAATAATTAAAAACCATAAATAATTATTCAAATATTAAACAAATAAATTTTATAGTGAAAAACAAATAATTATTAATATTAGGAAATTAAAATTAAATAATGATTATTTTTTAAGAATCAACATGAATATATACAAGATTTGATAATATATATTTTAATTTGTTGATTTTTTTTTTGTTTTTTCTTTTACAAACCAACGATTTTGAACGGTTCGAAGCAGTATAAAACGGTTTCTACGATTAGTACTAACCGCTAATAACCGTAACCGACCGCTAACAACTGCTAGGCGGATTCTAGCGAGAAAACCAATCAAGCTCTAACTTATATTCACGTTGGCATGTTACGGATCTATATATATATACACACATTAATCATTTAATTGACAAAAACTGACCGTTGATTTGGTTGATCATCACTCACAGGGAAACGACACATGTGTTTCTACCGTACACGTGTAGATTGACCGATCACGACCGTTCTTCTGCTTCAGGACAGGGCTTATCTGTCAAACTAAACTATTCATTCAGTCAAGAGTGTCTGTATTCAATCCAATCCAACCAACGTTTACTGCACAAGAGACAATAACTTACGGCTTATTGTCATTTTTCACTACAAATTTTAGTATAATCGTCGTCTTTCTCCATTTAATCAACTCTTGATATTTTTCTAAAACGGAAATATTTTGTTAGGATCTTAGATGTTTGAAAATTTGTTTTAAGTAATAATCCAAATAAAAATGTTTGTTTTTTATATATAGAGAGTACACCAAAATGTTGTTGTATTGTATACTTGGTTTGTTTTTGAAATATTTATGTAGAGAAATGCAGTTAATGCGTAAAGCAAATGGGCGCATTATATGTATGTAATGCGTATGGACCATTTAAAAGAGAAAAAGCAAACCTTTGTTTCGTCGGAGAAAAAAAAGTTAGAAACGGCGCACCCACACAAAAATATATTGTGCACCAAAATTAAATTAACAAAAATAATACAAGACCCATGTGACATCATGGAGACATATGTTTATAAATATATAAAAAAAAGACCCCTCGCAAAGACACAAACCACAACAAACTCTAACCATTATATAATCATATAAATCACCAATAATGAGCAGTAGCTTTCTGCCTCGCATCAAAATCAACACCCCATTCATTTTTAATTAGGAAAAAAAAATATTGCGCTAATCCAAGCATTATTCTATCACGGTAGTCGACCAAAAATAATCCCCACAATGAAATTGAATGTGTTATACTATAATTGTTTGATAATCAGACAATTAATTACTAATTTCACAAAATTTATAAATTGGTGTGAAACTTAAAATTAAAATCCATCGCACTGAGCAAAATAATTAAAATCGGAAACTAAAAATATGTCATTTAGATAATTGAGTTATGTAAAAGAAATTTTTAATAATTGAATCTCCGGCGGAGTCAGGAGGAGCGACATCTCCATGCGGAAACTCCGACGAGTTCTGTCCTTTGCCAACAGAGGATAAGAGAGTTATGTTTCTTCTCGACGTGAAAGCCTCTCACCGGCGTCCGTTGAACCAAACACTCCGCCTGAGACTCCGTGAAGTTACTGTGCGTCACCGGTAAGAACCCCATCTGCAGAAACATCGTTTGCCACGTCATCATCGGTCTCTCGATCGAACGGCTACGATCCAACACCAGCTTCTCTATCTCCGGCTGTATCAGAAACCTCTCGATCTTCTGCATTGCGTCGAGGTTGGCGTTGACGGCGTCGAGGGATTCGAGGAGAGCGGCGTGTGAGTGCAGCGAGTGTGCGACCTGTTGCGGGAAGGGAAGATCCGTCCTCTCGCATCCTCTGTCGGAGCAGACGATGATCGTCGGAGATAGATGCTTCACGAAACGGAGGACCAAAGGGAGGTGCGAGAAGGACGCGGCGGAGATGTTAACGGCGACAGCTTCTTTCTCCGACGAGTTAGGCCACGAGATGGAGCCGAGGAGGTCTAAGCTAAGAACTTGGATGTCAAGGGAGATGTTGATCTCAGAGGCGAAGTGCTTGAGATTGTCTTGAGTGAAGCCAAGTTCAAGCTGGTCGTGGTTCGCCGGAGAAGCGAGAACGGTGATCTTGAGGGAGAGAGGAGCGGCGTTGTCGCGGAGAACGAGCTCCTGCATGAGAGAGGCCCATTGGCCACCGTAGCCGATGTCGAAGTCGACGATGTGGAGACGATGGAAGCCATGGAAGGACTCTAAGAGGGCTTGGTTGGAGGTGAAGTTAGCGAACTGGAGAACGGGAGAGATCTCTGAGAAGGATTTGTAAGCAGCGATCTTGAAGATGAGGGAATAAGGGTTTAGGGTTTGGGAGACGTTGTGGAGGAGATTGTTGAGAGCTTCTTTGAAGTAAAAAGCTGCTCTTTCTAATGGCTTCCCGACGGGAGAAGAGAGCTGTTGATTGAGCCGCGCCAATATCCCCTGAGCTAGACACGTGTCGCTCTCTATGACCTCTGCTGCCTTAACCAGCTGCTCTGCTATCCCCACGGGACCAGGGTTGAGCCTCTTTGCCGGCGGAGGTGTATGGTGGTGGTGGCCGTAGAAGATGGCCGCAGGATTCTGTGTGTAGTGAGTTTGACTTTGGCTGATCAGAAGGCCGGGGACATGCGACGGCGGAACTGAGTGGTGGTCTAAACCGAAGCCGGTATCGACGACTCCGAAACCGGGTGATGAGTAGTCAGAGTCGTGAAAGGTGGGAGAGGTTTGGAGAATGCTGTTGAGTTCAAGAGAGGGATCTGTGGACTCTCCCATGATGAGTCTGAGAATGCTCTGTTCGTGGTCATGAGGAACTTGCTCCCAATCACCCAACCCAATGGTTCCGCATTGCTCATCGGTGGTGGCGTCGCCGCCGCCTCCGACGGCGCTGTTTCCGCCGTGAGAGGAAGACACCGTGGAGGAGGAGGTTGGGCTTATGAGGACGTCCAGAACAGAGGTAGGCTCCGCCGCGGGAACTTCTTCTTCCTCTTCTTCTTCGCCGCCTCTTACTTTGCGGCGGCTCAAAAGCGGAGACAGTGGTTGGGGGAAGGAAGACGAGAAAGAAGAGAAACAAGAAATCCCCTTCCCTTGAAACGCTTCAAAGGGTAAGGGCATTGCAGACTTTATGTACACCGATCAAAAATCGTGTATTTGTCTTCTTGGAGCTCTTCTTCTTCTTTGTTGTTGTTGTGGTGTGGTGTGGTGTGGTATATTGGATGCGTGCAAGATATTAAAGTGGCAAAGTGGGCTTCCTCCTTTCTTTTTCTCTCTTATTTCCGTTTCCTATTATTTTGCAGCTCCCCTAAACTAATTAACAATTAATCAGCTTCTCTTACACAACATGTTTAATCTTTGCTTTCTAAATCTTAACTACGTCTTCTATTACAACCCCACTCGCATACCACGCGCGTGTCTTGCAAACTCCTTCCAGTAACATGATGGTAAACAAAAATACAAATGTTATGATATATTTGGAAAGGTGGAGTTAGACTATTTTAATTTTGTTTTGTTGTTAGCCTTCGTAATTTTTTCGTTCTACAAATAGCACTAATCTTTGAAGTTTGTGTAAATATTGCTTTGATGAGTGATTTTTCTTTCCAAAAAATTATGTAAATTGCAGTATTAAGTAGTAGAGCTTAATCTTGATCTTAGGGTTATAATCATGTGCAATTGTGCATAAGTCTGCCATAATTAGGAATGAAAGGGTATCTGAGTCATTTCACGCGAAACATTATCTGAACCGGACTGGTTTTCGAACAGGATGGCAATTTCAAAAATTGATAATTGAACGGCTAAAAGATACTGTTCATAAACAAAGCAACGTGTGGCTACGATCAAGGGATCAACACCTTCTCTTTCGTTTTGGCAAATACAATTTATCTAATGAATTACTAGATATAAAAAAATATTTCCCATATTTTTGTTGTTGTACTGTATATTTATTTACATGTCAATATGTCATATATTGGGAATGTTTTTGTTTTCTGATAATTTATTTTCATGATTTAAACTTTGTGGCTTAGCTTAATAATATCTATATTTGGGATATTGTTTTGTTTTATTTAGTCTTGTTTTATCTCAAAGGTGCTGTCGTTATTTCCTTTTGTGTGATCTTTGTCCTCAATGGTTTAATTTGTTTTAGGGTTTGGACAAGCTTTTGGATCATCTTTATCAAATTAACCAATCAAATCACCCAATCCATTGTACAAGCTAAACCACATATAACGCAGTGCTTACATTAATTTGTTTTTTTTTGTTTTTGTTGCTACGGGCATGAATTTAAATTTATAAATCTAAACCAAGTGGTGAATGTATATCTTGGAGTTACATCAAAATATCTGTTTTGTTTTGGTTGTTTTAACGTAACGACGAATGCTCGTCATTAGCCAGAAGATCTATGAAACATTCAAGTACTACTTAGAACAAAGGAGGACTTATATATTTACGTGTATATATAGATATATAATATATACTTTCTTTGGTTCATCTTTTCTTTTTAAGAAAAAAGTGATTGAAGATCTGTGAATGATGTTTCTTCTGTGACAAGTTAAATGCACGAGAGATTGTGAAAGAACGAGTGGTAGTCCTTTATTGAGCAGACAATGGATGAATGTAGCAAGTCCCCAATCACCATATATATCTACCAATGGAAAACCCTAATAAATATATAAAGCAATCAGAAAAAACAACAAGAAAGAGAGGTGGGTAATTGATCTTGAAGACAATATCGGACCAATTTTGCAATGAATGGCGACAGTTTCATTGTCATGTAAATGAAAAAGCATTTACTTTTCTATGCAAACCATTTCATTAGTATGAACAATATCAAATTCTAACTCTATCTTTTATATGCGAATTATGCAAAAAAAAAACACAGAGCTCAGTTTATTATATGATAATTTTAGTCCCATATTATAATACTTGTTAAATACCATAAATGCTTGATTATAAATTTATAGTTAATTTACTTTTTTTTGTTGTTGTTAAAGTTATAGATAACTTACTTTATATAACAAAAGGTTGATATGTCCCATTTTAAGATTTAGATATATATGTTCCCATGTGATTTGCTAACAACTACTTCTCACACTTTTTCTTTCTTATGAAATTACAATAAACCTTGAAATGATCTCGTGATTATATTAATTTATTTTCTTATTCCCTTTTAAATTAACGATATGTTATATAAAATGAAAAAAAAAAAAACTGAATCTTAGATATATCGATAAATTCCAACAATCCTGTAAAATGATCACATACATAATACACCAACACATTTTCAAGTTTCATGATATATTATCATATTTGGTATGTTGGAATAATAATATATATACACATATGTGTGTGTTAGCTTCGTGAGGGTGAAGTAAGTGGTGAAAACATGTTCTTTTCTCTTGTCTCAAGGCACCCTTCATCACAAGCAACACACCCAACCCCACTCAATCGGGTAGTTATGAGAAAATTAACATTTATTATACAACCCTTAATCATTTTACAAAGTAAAGAAGATTTCAGCTTATTTTTTTCTCCTAAGCCGGGGTTTGTATGATGAATAGAATCGTGTTTTGCCATCATTAGAGGAAGAAACAAAAAAAGTCAGCTAAATATATTAATCCTGCCAAACAATAATTTATATAAAGGATGACGTATTAGAGTTTGTATGCATGTAAGTCCATATATATAAATGATTGCGTCGTTCATTTTGTATTAGATTTTAGGATAATGATTAGTTAGATTAGACAAAAATTGATCAATTATTATTAGGAGATCACATGGGACTGATAAGGATAAAGAAAAGAGAGAAGATTTCTTCTTCTCATTAGAGCCAAAGTAATAATACTTATGATTAAATAAACAAACCAAGATCGGCGGGAAGTAATTAACAATTATCACAATATAAAGTTGGTAGAGGAATTTCCTTATTTCTTGAAATCATTCATCTTTATTTATTGATGGTCTCTTAACACAATTCTTAAGTTAAGATATATGTCTTATAACTAACAAAAATCTCTTAGTTTAAGAGATTTTAGACCATGATTAACAAGAGAATCTTAAGATTTTCTTAAAATGATCTTAGCAATTAAATGATTAAAATTAATTCCCAAATAAGCTTTAAAGCTAAAGTGAGTTGCTTACCTAAGAAACAAATACACACTTAAGAACCATTGTTAAGAGCCATTTTTAAATTTATTATTTTAATATTCCTAAAAGCCATATTTAAGACACCCTTGATAATCATGCTCTTAAGAGCCTTTTGTTAGCTATAAGACATGTCTCTTAGCTTAAGAGTTGTCATAAGAGACTATTGATAATGTTGCTTTACTCTAAAACTAGATTTTAACCTGCGGTACACCGCAAGATGATTTATTTTTAAAGTTAGTATAAAAATATTTTGTAAATTAAATCTCCTTATAAAATATTTATTTATATTATAGTTTACAATTATTGTGGAAGCCCTCTTGGCCCATTGGTTGACCAAGGGTTAATTAATGCTTCTACACCAAGAGGTCTGGGGTTCGAGTCCTAGATATTGCGATTTATTAATAAATTTGCAGATTAAATGAGGCAAGTGTGTAGGAGATCTCCAGCGAAGTACAATTATAGCCGTTCGCCAGGATTCTACGCTGAGAGAGAAGTGTCGTCAGGTCATGGATCTAATAAGGGTCGGAAGGAATTGTCCGTTGTAGAATCGTCTATGTAACAGTTCTCATAATTTGCAATAAATAATAAATCTAGACGTCAAAAAAAAAAGTTTACAATTATTATTAAGTAACGGTATACCACGAATCCACGAGATAATTGTTAATAAACTGAGGATTTAACCCGTATTAAAGCGGCATGTTAATGATATTTATAAATATTAATTCAAATTCGTCCGCCATATAAACCCGTTCCGAAATATAACATGTTCTGTAATTTGTTAACTCGTCCCGTGATTTGTTTTTATTTTTAAATTTAATGATTATTTATTATATATAAAAGTTTACAAATCATATCATTTTTTTTTTGGTGGAAAAATGGGAGACTATGTCTCCCTTTTATTAAGAAAAATAACCAAATTACAAACGGATCCGTCTTGGGCGCGTAGACCCAATCACGTCATCCCTAAAAAGTGAATCAACATCATTCGGAACAGCATCAAAGAAATGAAAACCAATAGGCAAAGAAAACGCATAGTTCGCTAACCCGTCAGCAAGACGGTTAGCTTCCCTATACACGTGTGAAATACGGACTATCCAGTCCCTCGATAAAAAGCCATGGAACAAGCGCACCAGGAACGACAACGGATGCATCTCACTCACCCCTGTCTTCAGAAATCCGACCACTAGCTGCGAGTCCACCTCCAGCTCCAACCGTGTGATTTTCTTCTCCCAAGCTATATATAAGCCGTAGTAGACATCCCATAATTCCGCCAATGGTGCCGTACAACGACCTATGTTGAGAGAAAAACCACCACACCAATCTCCATACCCATCTCTAAGAACTCCCCCCGCCGTGGCTAAGCCCGGGTTCCCGTGTGAGGCACCGTCTGTATTAAGCTTCATCCATCCACCCGTTGGCATAACCCATCCCACTAGTACGTCACCCCGACGCCCTGATGTACTGCTCCCACTATGTAGCCTATGCGAGAGAGTTACCTCCTTTGCTAGTTCTTTGATAAACCGTGTATGATCTCGACACTTTCTGTTATTACCAAACACGTTATCACATCTCCATTTCCAACTCCACCATACTGCCATCGCAAACATCGTAGCCCATGTACTGTCACAATACTCAGTCTCATCACTTAAGTTGTCAAACACCCATTCAAGCAAGGATTTGTCAAAGAAAGTGCGTCTCTTCCGCGGTGGTAGAATCCTAGTCCATACTCCCATCATCGCCGGGCAATCTCTAAGAATATGGAGTATCGTCTCTACTCCGCCTTTACAAACTGGACATATATCCGTACTGCTTAAGTGTCGTCTACTCCGTTCGGCATTTGTCATGAGTACTTGGTTCCCAACTAACCAAAGGAACACACGGACCCTCTCCGGTGCCGTCACTCTCCATACTCGACTATAAAACTTCTCCAAGTTAGGTCTCGGGTCACTATTCCTTGTAAGTAAATTATATGCTGACTTGACCGAGAAGTTCCCATCCACACTTGCACTCCAAGACAACCGATCACTGGCTCCCGTTACCTTATCCACAACTACTGATGTTAACTCCAGTCTAGCATTGTCCGAGACGTACGGTGTGATCATATCCATTCTCCACCCGTTACCATCTCTCCATAGGTCATTCACCACCATTGATTCGTATCCTTGTGGTAACATGCCACCCGCTTCTTCAGACAAGATCCTATTAAACAACCAACGGTCTGTCCAAAATTTAACTTGTCTTCCATTCCCCACAACCCAGCTCTTACCCGGTATAACCACGTCTCGCAGCCCCGAAGTAATGCTCCTCCATGTTGACGACCAAGTCCCTTTCTTTGTCAACCATGATCCATCTTGAATATTTCCCACTTTATATTTCTTCTTCACCAACTTCACCCATAAGCTCTCGTGATCATGAAATAGCCGCCAACCCAACTTCGCCACTAAGGCCTTATTCATGTCTTGGGCTGCTCTAATTCCAAGCCCACCTTCTGATTTCGGTCTAGTAACTTTATTCCAGGCTACTAAGTGTTGCTTCTTATGTTCCACACTACTTCCCCACAAGAAAGACTTAGATGCGCGATCCAACTTCTCTAAAATCGATGTGGGCATGCAGATTGTGCTCATTGCGTGAACCGGAATAGACGATAGTACAACTTTAGTTAACGTCACACGACCCGCTAGACTGAGGAACCGACTCTTCCAACCCGTAAGCCTTGAGGTTATCTTCTCCAATACCTCCCCAAAAGTATCCTTATTAATCCTTTTTTGTAGAACCGGCATACCCAAATATTTTCCCAAATCACGTGTGGACTTAATACCACTCTCCTCACTAATAAGCTTCTCCAAGTCCCGGGAAACATTATTAGAAAAAAAGATTTTCGACTTCTCGAGGCTGACCTTCTGTCCGGAAGAGCTACAAAACTTCTCTAGTACTCTCCGTATAACCCTTACTTGTGCTACCGATGCTTCCGCAAACAAGATAAGATCATCGACAAAGCAGACATGGGAGAGCTTTGGGCCTCCCTGAGACAAGCTAATAGGCTTCCACTCTTTATTCGCAATTGATAACTCAATCATATGGCACAACCTCTCCATACAAAGCACAAAAAGATAAGGGGACAACGGGTCGCCTTGTCTAAGTCCTCTCGCGGGTTGGAACGCCTCTGTCCTCTCTCCATTCCAAAGCAAATTCATAGAAGGTCCCGAAACACACTGCATAATCCAACCAACCCAAGGAGCCGAGAGCCCCGCGGCAACCAAAGTATCCTCAAGGAAATCCCATCTAATGCGGTCATAGGCTTTCTCTAGGTCAATCTTTAACAACATCCAACCTTTTCTCCCTTTCTTACGACGCATAGAATGTACCGCCTCCTGCACCACCACAATATTATCCACACTCAAACGCCCCAGGATAAAACTCGCTTGAGCCGGACCTACTAATTTGTGCATCACACCTTTAAGTCTCCCCACCATGGTCTTTGTAATTATTTTAAACAATACATTACAAAGACTTATCGGGCGGAACTGTGTTATCCTCTCCGGTTTTGCGACCTTAGCGATTAACACAATAAGGGCATCATTTGTTGATGGCGGTAAAGTCCCTGTAGCAAAAAAGTCCAACACAAATTTCAACACCGAATCACCAACGATTTCCTAACACTCCTGATAGAATACGGGCTGGAAACCATCCGGTCCCGGAGCTTTAAACTTCCCCATACTTTTTACTGCCTTCACCACCTCCGCAGCCAAGAATGGTGAGTTTAAATCCCTAACCTCATCACGATCCAGCCTTGCAAACCCGACTTGTGGTAATTGTTCAACCACCTCTCCCACATCCGCCAGTGAATATAGACGCTTATAGTACTCAATAGCTAGATGTTATAACTCCAGCCCCTCCGAAATCCAGTTCCCGTCATCATTTTTCAGCATTTCAATACGATTTCTCCTCCGCCTAATAACCGTTGAAGTGTGAAAAAACTTTGTATTTCGGTCTCCCAAAGCAACCCATTTCTCTCTGGACTTCTGGAACCAAACCATCTCTTCTTGCTCAAGAACTACCTCAAATTCTTTTATTAACTCCTTCTCTTTTTGTAGCAGAACATTCGTTTGATAATGGTCAAGTAAGTCTTGCACTTCTTTGATTTCACTCATTAACGTTTCTTTGCGGACCTGAATATTACCAAAGATCTCCTTATTCCAGGTCTGCAGCGTCTGTTGTAACTGAACCAACGCTTCCGGTGTTGTTATCTCTCTTTGCCACGATGACAACAAGAGATCTTTGAAACCCTCATGGCTTAACCACGCTGCTTCGAACCGGAAAGGTCGTCTTCTAGGGTCTCTTCCCACTACCGGCGAGAGCTGTACATATAAAGGAGCGTGATCAGAAGATAGGAAAGGGAGATGCGTGACTCTTGCATCCTGCCACTTCAACCGCGCATGTGGACAACACAAAACTCTATCCAACCGTTTAGCTACAAAATGATTTGCTGCTCTTCCTCTCTTCCATGTATACTTATTCCCTCGAAACCCCATGTCAATTAAGGAATTGTCACTAATCCAATCTCCAAACGATAGGGAGTCCATTGAGAGTTGCCCGTTTCCACCGGTTCGCTCATCAATTCTGACAATTGTATTAAAGTCTCCTCCAATAACCAATGGTCCATCCACTCTACTCATTACTCCGCTAAGCTGAATCCATAAGCCACTTCTCCTACTGACAGATGGTGCCGCATAGACAATAATGAGATGTAACACTTCTTGATCCTGCTTTACTGTTGCGTAGATATATTGATCCGAGGACTCTAATATCTCAACATCTCCGACTTCAGACCGCCACAGTAACCAAAGCCCACCGTTCTGCCCTACTGCGTCAACACGAAACGACTTATCAAACCCCAACCCCTGACAAATCCGACTTGCTCTGTCCCCTCCAGCATGCGTCTCAAACACCGCCAACACGTCCGTATTGAACTTTTTCAAGATATATCGAATAGATCTTCTAAAATTGGGTTTATTCGCCCCCCGGCAATTCCATAGGATGCAATTCATCATTAATTCACAATAAAAAAGTGAAAAAGCCGGGGACACTTGCTATGCATTCATGCTATCCGGTGTATGATTCACCGGAACAATCTGCTTAGCAACCTCCATCGGCGCCGAAACCTCCATCAAGCTCAAGTTTGTGTTTTGATCATCTTCCCTTCGATCTTGCACAACTCTCGACTCGTCACTTCCAGTTGTCCTTCCAACCTCAAAGCCTCCTTCTGAGCGTATTAAGCGCTCTGTATCAATACATAAACGTTTCCCTGTGGGCAACACCTCTCTCTCACCTCTAATGGGCCCAAAAATTAAACCCTTTACGGGCCTGTTTGGTCTCACGGTTTTGGGCTTACCCACACTTTTCTCCATGGGCCTATCATTCCCAGGCCTTTTGTTCTGATTTCCCCCATTCCCGCCGCTTGACTTATTCGAACCTGCACCAAATCTTACCCCCGTATTTTGCGTCACCTTCTTCTCCCGCAAGCTGTTAATTCTGATAATATACAAATCATATCATTCGCTAAGTCATTTATATTTTAATCGACTGAAGATTTAATTTGTATTAAAGCGGCATGATAATGATATTTTAAAATTTTATAAATATTGATTCAAACTCGTCCACCATATAATTTTGTTCCGAAATATAACCCGTCCTGTAACTTTTTAACCCGTCCCGTGATTTATTTTCTAAAAGTAGTAATTTTTAAAATTTAAAGATTGTTTATTATATATAAAAGTTTGCAAATTATATCATTTTCTAAGATATTTATATTTTATAGTTTACAATTGTTATTAAGTAACATTATACCATGGGACAATTTTTGGTTTTATACAATCTTTTCTAAATGAGACTTATATTTTATAGTTTACAATTGTTATTAAGTAACATTATACCACGAGACAATTTTTGGTTTTATACAATCTTTTCTAAATGAGACTTATATTTTATAGTTTACAATTGTTATTAAGTAACATTATACCACGGAACAATTTTTGGTTTTATACAATCTTTTCTAAATGAGACTCATTTAATATTTCTAATATTGGTGGTATTAAAAAAAAGGATTTAATCCGTATTGAAGCGGTGGATCAATGATATTTTAATCTTTTTATTATTGTTGATTCAAAAACCCGTCCCGCCAAAAAACTCATTTATTTTATTAATGTTGATCTTATTTATGATATGATTATGAATCATTGTCTAAATATTTTAATCGATGTAGAACGTTGAACACACATTTTCGTCAATTGGATAATATATGTCCGTTTTTTAAATTTCGAATCACAGTATATGCAGAAAAAAATTGATTGTTTTTTACTTTATGTATTATATGATGATTCAAAACAGTTAAAAACAAATTAAACAAAGATGATAGGAGAATCATAATTCTAAACTTTAATCAAATCTTCTAAATATCTAAATTATTAAATATGAAATATCTGGTGTATAAATTGGGTTAAATATAACCCGACCCAACAAACATTTTATGACCAAAATTTGTAAACAGGCAAGGTATCTAAATAATCTGGAAACATTTTTACCCATCCGTCACAAAAATTACTGCGAAAATAGTATAGAGATAACTTAGTGATTATAACCCGGCCCAAACAACGTAGTCTGCATCGTGCAGTTTCAATTGCCACATTTTCAGTCCATAGAAAGCCCAATCAAATCGATTAGATGGAAATGGCAGGGGCTCATTGGGAGGATAAAACTCATTTTCTAGTACAGTATGTACTAGTTCTCTGAAACTTATATTCGATAGATTTGTTTATCAATAATTTGGTTACGTGCTTTTCTGACGACGATTTAGGAATGTATTATTCAAATTAACCAAAACACAACTCTTTTTGCAAATTTTGCATATACAAATACAATAATACAAGCCACTATCTCTAAGTCTCGGAACGGTCTTTCTTTGATTAAGGGAGACAGAGGACACAATAATATTAGCAGACGAATCCTTGAGGAACATTTTTGCCGCAAGAGTTGAGAAGCAGACTGAGAGCAACGGGAATTTTGACGGGAGCAATTCCGAGAATGCTGGTTTTAAGGGCGGTGCACAGACAAACGGCAGCTTCAAAGTCAGCCAAACCTTTGATGAGTGAGCAACACTCCTGGCTCGGTGGTGTACCGATGACCTCACGAACCAGACCTAACCAGCTCCCACACACTCCAAATTTGAGAGTGTCTCTTGGACATTTTGTGGGAGAGGGAGGGCATGGCTTGACGGTGGCTCCTGGTATAACGTGACCGAAGATGAATGTCATGTTGAGGAGCAGCAAGATGAGAAGAGATCGCAAAGCTTTCGAGATACCCATTAGGTTTATTTTGAAACTATTGCTATGTGATACCAATGAGGAAGGAGAGAGGCCTTTACAATTTGCGTTCTTTCTTTGTTGGTGCCTTTATCATTGTGGCTTTGTGGCCATAATTGTTTGTGTTATCCCTAGTTCTGTAAAACGTATTTGTCTTCTTCTCTAAATTGAAATCTTGGGAAAATCTTTTCCGATCACTCAAAAATACAGTTGTTGCTGTTCGAAAACGACACATTCGTATCTTTGATATATAATATCTGATAGACTTTTAGACATGGATGGCGAGATTTAAGGAGTTGACCCTTGGAGAAGAAGCAAATGATAAACATAGAGGTAGCTCTATATATCAGAGAAACTCAGTAGATTAGGCTAATCTAAGTTGGTGTGGAAAAATGGGGTTCATAAGAAGTTACTTCTCCTTCGTCTGCGGAACCATCTGCGGGATTTATATAGCGCAGAGCTACAACATTCCAAACATAGAAAAGGTGGCTCAAGCAGCCTATTCCATGGCCATGCAGATGGAAGAGAGATACCGTAAGACAAAGACCAAGCCCAAAGAAGACTTCCAAGACTAAAACATGTCACTGTTTTCTTTCTACATTTTTGTATTATGATGAGTTTGTCTTCTTATTTCCAACAACATTCTTTGTTTTCTTAATCAGTTTGTTTTAGTTCCAATCAAAAGCACCGACTCTTGAGATCTTACTACAGACTCAAAAGAAGTGTGTTCAAATCAATAACAAGAAGCCTGCCACAAAATCACCCCGTTGTTCCTGTGCTACAGCTACTGATTTTACAGCTTAAAATGAAAATCACCCGCCTCCATTTTACGAAAATCTGGTGAAAAATACTTTTTGTTGAAAGAAAAAGGTTTAGAACTTTGCAAGATTTGATGATTAAAAGGATGATGAAGCTAAACCCATGGCGTTTACATCCGGTTCAATATGTAGCCAATCACGCAACCGAGCAGACCCACCAACAACATCAACACCAAGGAATGACCACCTGACTGCTTCTTGCTTGATTCTTTCCTCAGCATCTCCTGAATACACAATATATGTAATTCGTTTATGAAGATTAAGCAAATAACAAGTAGATCACTCGGGTAAACGCTTACCAGTTCCAGTCGGAGCTTCTGACTTTGTTGAGTAGCAGAAGTCTTCTCCTCCGTCAATTTGGAAATCATAGACCACGCCTGAGAGAATGAGATGAGATGGTGAGAGTAAACGATCGAGATGTCGAATGGAAAAAGACAGGATTGTGATGTTACCTCTGAAGATTTCTCATTTGTTTCTTCAAAGGTTCTGGACACCTGAGAGAAGATTATTAGTTGCAATGGAGTTCTTGACTATTAAATATCTGAATGAGGAAATTGAATGATCGATCTCACGTCATCAAATAGTGAGGCAGTTTGAGAGCCAATCTCGTTGAGGGAAGCCATAGGAGAGTTGCCTTCTTCAGATCCTTCAGGGACGGGTGAAGGGGGATTAGCAGGGATGTAAACAACGCGCAATTTGAAATCCTCAATCACTCTACCAGCCTCCTTGTTGAACTGGAAGAACCAAATAATAATAATGTAAGGCCCCGAAAAAACACAAAAAGCAGAGTGTGGAAGCATTGCATTTAGAGTCCAACCATTTCAGCGAGGACTTCTTTGGAAGAAGTACCATCAGAGACAACAACAGTCTGAACAAGGAACTTGTCTTTGCATTGCATATCAAGAGGAGCCTCTTTCTGGGCTTGCATGGTCACTGAAAGAAAACTTGTGTTGTTGTTTAAGTTGTCTTCTCTGGTGTTTCGTATCAAGAATCAAATAAATGTGTACAAGATGATAAACTCAGTTGTCTTCGACTCGAGTGTAGTAGAGTAAAGAAGAAAAGCTTAAAAAACCTGTAACATTGCAGGAATCGCCAGGCAAGACAACACCGGTGTTAGGACGGACACAGTATTTGCGAGGATTGGTAGTTTTAACCTGTGGGTTGATTGAAGCAGCAGCAAAATCATTCTCAAAAACATCAATCAATCAATCTCTCTCAAGTCTACTACTACTACTAGTAAGAAAAAAAATATTACCTTAAAAGCGACACAATGAGTAGTTGTCTTGTTGGTCAATTGCATCGAACACGAACTCTGCTTCTTCAACTCAACTTCACCCCAAACAACGGTCCAATTCGAATTCAATATCGAAATGAATCCCAGAGGGATCAAATCAACCGGAAAAAAAAAAAAAAAAACTTACAAGGGAATTTAAGCTCAGTAGGATGGATATTCACGAGATCTCCGGTCGTCATGCTTCTTTCTTGTAGATCCCCTTCGCTTTCTGAATTTTGAATTTCAGTTTTTAGGGTTTACTACTACCTACTGTTGTGAGAGAATCGAACACATTTTGATTTTGATCAGAGAAGAAGAAAAGGTAAATCAAATTGCCTTTTTTTTTTTTTAATAATTAATGCCACATATATACCATTTGACTATCACCACCGATTGACCGTGATTTATTTATGCGTAACCGACCGTTACGTTAGCCCAACAAATTCAAGGCTCTTGTCCCAAATAAAGCCCAACAAAATGGATCCATTGTATATACTCTTGTTGGGCTTCCTAAAGCCCAGTGATTTTTTCTTGATATTAAGCCTTTTTTTCTTTGTTGAATTCTTTCGAGTTGGAATGTATACATATATGTTGATCATTCTTCCCAACTTCGAATATGAAATCATAAAGAGAAAAAGACAAGAATCATAAATGTATGTTGAAGCCTACCTAGCTTAGCTACTTCTTTTGATATTAAATCATACTCCCATTGTTTTTTAACACTCCCTCTGTCCCAATATATAAGATGTTTGGACTAAAAACACAGAGATTAAGAAACAATAAATGTTTTCTCATTTATGAAAATTCAACTAATAGAAGAAGAAACTGCATACTTAAAATAATTAAAAACTATTAAACTAATATAAATCATGCACTGAAAGTTGAGAAAATCTTATATAATGGAACAAATGAAAAGGTCTAAAACATCTTATATATTGAGACAGAGGGAGTAGTTAACTAGATTTTACCATGCGGTCGATTTTTTAACTGAAAAATTAAATTTTAAATTGTATTTTTTAATATTATTTATTTTTTTAAGTGTTTAAGATTGTATAATTATATTTTGATTGTTTTAGGATTTCACCCGTGATATTAATACCGTCCCATATTAATATCGATCCAAATCCGTCCACTATATAACCCCGTCCCGTGAAACTAAACATTATTTTGTTATTTTTAATAATATTTTATTTAATAGACATATAATTCGAGTCAATTTAAAAGTTTGATTTTATATATATATTTTTAAATTTTAGTTAATAATAATTAATTCTATATAATGATTTATGAATTAATTGCGTATGACTGACGGTCAAGATTGAAAACCGGATTAAGATTTGAATGGCCACGATTAAATGTAGGGATTGTTGAGATCTTATAAGAAAATAAAATTGAATATGGATGTAATTGTGGCGAGGATTAGTTATACTTAATATATTAGGTTAAGATTTTTGGAAACAATTTTTTATGTTAATATCTTTGATTTAATTTTGAAAATTTAAATAATTAATGTTAATGACATTTGATCGTAAATAAGTTGGAACTCCAGGATTTATTCATAAATGTCTCCAAAAATGTATATATAGATGTTTTAGAGAATTTTTAAAATAATTTATATGATGTTTTCAGTTTTCAATACGAAATTAAATAATTTTTTATATTATTTTTGACTCTTTATGTTGTTATATCATTGGTTGAATTGTTTTAAAATAATTTAAAAACGGAGGGAGAATATAACACAGCCATTGAAAAAAAAATACCTTCACAATTCCAAGCGAAAATTATACTATTAGTTCCAAAAATTTCTAAAACAAAAAATGTCTCCTGATCGATTATCAAATTTCATAATAGTAATAATAAGTTAAGTTTGAGCTGAAATTAACCACATTTTTTGAAGATTAAAGATTGAGAAAGTCGTAGCTAGCTAAGCTAGTTATGGGTCACCCCAACGTTGGCAGTTGAGCCGTAAAAGCCTTCTCGATCTCTTCCCATCATCGAATCCTCTCCTTCCTTCATTTTCAAAAATATACAAATTAGAAACTTTCTTAAGTTTGTGTGGTCAATGCATACACCTGATTATATATAAACATTTGTTCAAAATAAAAATAGTATAGTAAGTAACCTGTTGGCGCACGTTAGCCTTCTTGGTGGGAGGATGATCAGCCATGAGACCAAAGTGTATGTGAGGGAAATGAGCCCACTGTTTCATACATACATCATATACTTAGCTCTTTTGATTTAAGTTTATTTGTATCTCGCATGGACAAAGGATGACATTACTGTGTTCAAATTTTAATCACAGGTTATCATTAAAGTTTTGGCAATCAATTTAGATAAGTATTTATCTTATATACTACTACAAGTCTACAACATATCAAGTGGATAAAAAATATACGAATAAACCAGACATATGTCTGCTTGGGGACGACTTTTACAGAAACCCTAGACTAGATCCTGAGGCTATTACTTATAGCTAATATATGCTGGATAAAGCTTATAGTTTATGGATTATTAGGGTAACTATTTTCTTTATGGTTTTCTTAAAGTAACGTGAGAATCAATGTAGCTCCACAATATCTAGCTAGGTGCAGTCAATTGATATATACTATTATTCATCTCATAACGACTAATGTGATAACTGATAATATACTATATGTTTATGGGTATGTGAAATATAGCAAAATTCGTATTATTAAAAACTAAAAGAGAGAAAAGAAGAAGAACAAAAAAAAGGTACGTTTTTGGCAGCAGCACTGAAGGCTTCTCTGTGGCTGATATCAGGGTTGCCTGCCTTTATACGTTGGATCTCCTCCCTGTCAACATTTTTTTTATTTATAATTATATAACGAAATCAAGTCTGTCACATCTATCGACTTAATTATATGAGTGAATGGTTAATTAAGGAAACTTAATTATGCCATTTTAAGCAAAGGAATAAAATTATTACTTGATGAATCGGTTGTATGCAGATGGTACTCTTTGTCGCTTCTCTGGGGCTGCTTTTCCACAAACAAACAGAACATATTCAATTTTAATTCCAAATCAAACCCTTTTGTATAAAAAAACATTATTGATTTATATTGTGTCTCCCCAAAAAATCTAAATATTCACCAAAATATAATTAAATGAAAAAAAAAAAAAAAAACAAGCTCTCTCTCTCTCCCTCTCCCTCTCACTTTGCTCGTTATCATCATCACTTCATCATTATCTTTCTTACGATCTACCCCAAAAATATATCAGTTGGTGTCTATAGGTTTAGCTAGATTTCCGGGGGATAAACACATCACTTATTACTTTCCTTTGTCGAAAAAAAGAAAGAAAAAAAAGTGCATGCGAGAGAACTAAGAAGTCACATTCCGAGAGGAATCAAAAGATGAGATCAAAACTTAGAAACTCCAAAACAGAAAAAAAAAAAAAATATTATAAACAAACCAGATTCTTTGGGGTGTGTATATGAAAGGTTGAAGAAACGAAACAGGGAAATGAATGGATAAGATTTTTGTGAATTAGGGTTTTTGTTTTCTTATATATATGGAGATGCTGAAATAAAGAATAGAAGATGGAATGTTTACGTCTATTGGCTGGTGGCCGAGGCATCTCTTGCAGATGATCCACTCTACCGTTGCGAGTCGGCATAACCAAAGACTCGTCCGGGTGGTGAGCTGCGCCGTGATGGCTCATCATCATGTTCATGTTTATATTCTGCCCTCCGCTTCGCATTTCCTCCTAACAAATGAAATCAGCAAAAAAACTAAAAAGACAAATCAAACCAAACTACTTTGATATGATGTTTTTCAAAGAAACACTAGCCAAATAGCCATTGCAATAAATTAATTGCGGATTGTCTGTATGCATCAAGAATCAAGTCTTAGATCTAGCATGTAAATACTAACCTAATTAAACATTTTTGGATTGAGTTTCACAATTCTGCGTTTCTCGAAAAGCCCTAATTGTTACTCTATATATATATATATTTTTTTTAATGAAAAAACCCTAATTTGTTTTAATGAATAAAAAATCGATATACCAAAAGATTGGGAGGAGAAGGAGGAGGAGGAGGAGGTAAAAAGGAATGGCCAAGGTTGGAAACGGAGGGAAGAAGAAGAGCTCTCATGCTTACAGTCACCGACAAAAGGTTCGAACAGTGGCCGCATCTCACCGTCACGGTCTTGAACAAACTACTCGGAGGAACACTCACCTGCCAATATCACACATTAATTGAAAACCCTAGAGCTAGAGATTTAATATTATATGAGATATATATAAGAATAATCCAAATTTACAGCAAGGACAGTGTCGCAGAAGCTGCAATGGACGTAACAGAGCTGCTCGGAAGATGAGAAGTGGTCCGGTGGAAAAGCTGGAGCTGAGGAGGACGACATGGACATGCTCGACATGGACTCTTTTTCTTTTTCTTTTTTAAACAAAAAAAAAGTAGTAAGAGAGAGGAGGGTTTGATTTGATTGACTGATCGATATCCAGATAGAAGTAATAGATTCTCCTTCCACCACACCTTTTGACAATTGTGTTAGTGTTGGGTGATGAGCAGTGCTTTATAAATGTCTTGTACTTCTCCAGAAGTTGAAGTCCAGAGAGAGAGAGAGGGAAGAGAAAGAACGGTGGAGAGGAAGATGTGGTTTAGAGAGAGAGAGAGAGAGAGAGAGAGATTTGTATTTATGTAAATATGAAGAGACACTGTACCTAAACAATTTGGCGACATGTGATGAAGAGGCCATTGTAGAGATAAGCTGCATACCTGCATTCTCATTTATTTACTACCTTTTGAACCGGTTTTTTCTTTATTATTCCCATCCATCCCTTTCTTCTATATATTAAACCGAAACTAGTCTTTGTTTGTATGGAATCACATCAAAACTCTATTTTTTTATTTATTAATAATCATATCAAAATCTCATAGAAATAAGTTAACACCAGGGTAATTATATTGAATTAATTAGCTATGTTTAACTAATTTTTGAACATATTGTAGCCGGTCGGTGAAGACACTGAAGAATAGATAAAAAGATTTCAGAGTTTAATAACGACAAGATATTTGTGCAGCATCAAAAATATTACATACGACAAACATGTTAACTTTTTTTTATCAACAAATTTTTTTTTTTAATCAACTATTCAAAACGCATATTCTTAATTCACATGTTAGGTTAATTTGGAATTGTAGTTTAATGATTTCTATTTTGGTTAAGCATTTTGTTACATGGTTAATGGTTTGTGTCGTCGCACTGATAATACAATAACAAAAAAATATCAACTAGCTACATTTAAACATGAGATCAAAGGGAACAATATGAAAATAAGGTTGGTGTAACAATTCTGTGGCCCATTGTTTAGCAAAGCTTGGTTGTTTAACTTCTTCCTTTTATTCGGATAATGATAAACCACCTCCATGGCTAAGCCATCATTTGTATTTCTTTGACAATGATTAAGCAATAAAGTTTCATTTTCGACGAAATACAAAGAAAAAGAAAAAGAAAATAAGGTTGGTGTTGTTTTCATAGACCTAAAAGCAGCAGGACTTAGAAACTTGAATGTGTTGTGTGGTGGATCTCCAGAAAATCCTTGGCCATATTACACCCATATTTAGAGTAAAAAGTGGTCATATAGCTAGATGTTTTTGTTTTTACATGCACATACACTCCCAGTGAATCCAACTCTTCTGCGTATTGAGGTCATTCTACAAGTCTTCTCCGCAAAATAAGAAGAAGAAGAAGATAATGTAAAATAAACGAAGTTAAATCTAAACTGGTTACGGTTTGAATTCAATTGGATGAAAATCATTGTTTTTTCTTTTTTCTTTAAAGGACGCAAAGTTCGATGAAGTGGGAGAGAGAGGAAGAGGAAAGGGACTTGTGCATGGAAGTGATTAAGCAAAGGCTCATTCATCAGTTGTTTTCACACTTAATAACATTTCTGCCACACCACACTTTCCCTCGATCCTCGTCAATTCCTTGCCCTTTTCTATTTATTATTGTATATACTTTCTCTATATTCCTATGTATATCATTTTGTCATCATTATTTTTACCAGCAAGTGTGTGGTTTCACTAAATTCCATAATACAGGACCACCATTTTGTGGTAAATTCCCAGTTGTTCGCGGTAATTACTAGGTCATAGTGAAATTCAAATTTCTTTATACATATTCTGAAATTAGTTTGAGGTTTTGTAAATATTATATATGGCTATCCGGTTTCCCAATATATAGTGTAAATATAGAATATGATTTTAGTAAGTCAAATCCTACAGCATATACAGTTTAAGTAAGTACTATTATAGTTTTTTTTTTAAAACTCCAAATAATATCTATATATACATTTTTGGAACACTTTTAGCAAATAAATCCTCGGATTGGGCAGTATTTACAAAGAATGCCATTGACATTTATTATTACTTTTACAAAATTTAAATAAAAGATATTAACCAAACAATATTTTGCCTAATTTGTTTCTAAAAATCTCTACACAATCTTTTCATATATCTTCAAAAAGTTTTTATAACAAATATTTATATTAACATTTTGCATAGCAATAAAAATACTAATTTATAATAATCAAAATATTCACATAGAAAAATCATATATACATACAGAAAAAAGAACTATATCTATTATCATTTAAGCCGTTGCTTTATTTAAATTAAAAAAAAACATAAAAACTTGAAATCATATACTTTATATGATAAATTTGAAATATATATTAGTAGTATAAATTTAAAATCGTTCAAAGAACGGTATATCACGGATGAGATCCTAAAATTATTAGATTTTATAACAATTATAATTTATTTTCTTGGATTTTATAACACTAATAATTTAGTTAACGAGATAATATAGACGGGTTTATATGGGATGACGGGTTTGGGTCGATATTAATAAATAATGGTATAGCACGGATGAAATCCTAAAATTGACAATCAAAATACAATTATACAATCTTAAACACAAAACAAAAGAAACAATATTAACAAAACAAATCCAACTTAAATTTAAAATTTTAGTTATAAAAAAACAGACCCACGGTATACTGCAGAGTAAAATATTCAAAATTTTAAAATCCATCATACATCGATACTTAAAAAAATGTATGTTTTCGTATCTATACTTCAAAAATTGATAGATAGATATCTACATTTAAAAATACAAATTAATATGATATAACTTTAGTTAATCTTTTAAAAAATAACATTATATTTTTTAAAAAAATATAGTCATGCGGTATACCGCGGGTTAAATTCTAGTAGTATAGTTGTTTTGCAAGTTTAGTATTTGTATTGAGTTTTCTTAAAAGTAACTACATCAAATAATCAATTCATGATGTTCTATTGGATGAAAGATTCATCATAGGGCTAATGGAAAAAGGTTCAAATTCCTTTCATTACAATGTAAGTCATTGTTTGCCACCAATAATATCCTATATATTCATATAAAGTATTGGAAATTTGTTTGATTTCGTCTAGAAATTCTTGTTTGTAGAAAAAAGAAGTAATTAAGGATATTAAATAAAATAAACTATGAATGCAGAGAAAGACAGAACATTAAAATCGAGGACGACACAAGGCGTCGAAGTTGACTAATTATAAAAGTAATAATCGCGAAATCATGCAACGGAAATGAGAGCAAAAAAGTTAAAGAAAGAAGAAGCTTATTTAAGAACATATATACTGTTTTATTTCCGATTTGACCATTCATATATCTCAATCTACCTTACACTTACACACAAACATTATATATAAATGTACAGAGCTAGGCATGTATAGTTTGTCAGCGACAGAGATCTCTTCTTCTTTTTTTTTTTCTTACTTTTAAGACACTTTCCCTCGAAATATTTTCAGGTCTGAATTTAAACAGAAATTTTCACAAAATAATATATTGAATTTTTCCACCGCCTGAATGAGTGAGAGAGTGAGAGAGAGAGAGAGAGCTGTCATTTCTCACACAAACACTTTGGAAAACAATCAACATCTGAGTGTATATACGCACGTGTATATGTCTCTCTTTAGTTTCATTAACATTCCCGTTTCTAGCCACTTATCTTCGCCATGCATGCCACAGTTTTGCATTTCACTAGACATCACATCTTTTCAAGACCTCTAACAAACCAGGACTACTTTACATAGTGGAACAACAAATAATTCTTACTTGTTCATTTATTCAATATATTGCTAATTCGCTTCTTTTTTCGACAAAATGATAATATCTATTACACTAAACTAAATTTTTTTTTTTTTTTTTTTTTTTTTTTTTTTTTTTTTTTTTTATTTTTTTTATTTTTTTTATTTTTTACTAAACTAAACTAAACTAAAATTTACGTAGTCACCACAATACAAATATTGAGTTCACCACGAAGGTGAATTTATAAAGAAGAAAAGAATATATTATTAGGATGACTATATCTTGCTAACAGGTGGAGCAACTTCAGTCGTCTAATTCCTTGTGACATGGAGAAAAATTTCGTCTTGAAACTTCGATATCTTGGTTATTTTTTATTTTTTTTAATATAATGTTAAATTAAATTCAAAAAAAAAAATGGTATTTACATCAAGTGCAATGTTAATTTGAAAGAAATTTTTAAACATTAAGAAGTCAGCTCCTCGACGCGAACCAAGTTTGAAGTCCTTTATCATATCGCCTATCACCACTTGCTCGAATGGTTGATAGTTGATATAGATGTTTGTAGAAGTGATAATCTTATTACATTCTCAGAACTACAATATATATACAGGAGAGGGAGACCTAGGGTACACAAGTGTAATGAATGAGAGTATATACAACCTTACATATACGAACCCTTGACATAAGCAATCATAGACAATCAAGGATATCAATCATATCCTTAATACGCCCCCTCAAGATGGAGGCACTCGAGTGACTCCAATCTTGCTTGAGAAGTTTTGAAACGCTGTCCTCGACAATGGTTTAGTAAGTTTGTCTGCCAATTGGTCATGTGTAGAAACATGAACAACACGTAGAGCGCCCGATTGTACTTGGTTTCTGACGAAGTGATAATCCAATGCGATATGCTTCATCCTCGAGTGGAAAACCGGATTTGCACATAGGTAGGTTGCACCAACGTTGTCGCAGTAAATGACGGGCTGCTGTGGTAAACGGATGCCAAGTTCAACTAATAAAGAGCTAACCCATTGCAGTTCAGCTGAAGTGTTGGCGACTGACCTGTACTCGGCTTCTGTGGAGGAGCGTACAACACCTTTCTGCTTCTTAGAAGACCATGAGATTGGATGATTACCGAGATAGACTATGTAACCATTTGTTGAAACATAATCATCTGTATCACCTGCCCAGTCCGCATCCGAATATGCGTGTAATGATAATGTGTTGCCTTTCTTAAGAAATATACCATGGTCTGGAGTCCCTGCTAAATAGCGAAGAACTCGCTTCAATGCTTGCCAATGCTCCGTGGTTGGTATATGCATAAATTGGGAGAGGCGGTTGACCGAATATGAGAGATCGGGACGAGTAAATGCAAGATATTGGAGACTTCCCACTATTCTTCGATACTCGGTCGGATCAGGTAGTTTGGTACCGGAATAAAGTGACAATTTTGGTGATGACGCCATTGGTGTTGTCACTGGTTTGGTCGTGAGCATATTGGTTTGAGCTAGCAAGTCAAGAATGTATCTTCGTTGACTTAGATGAAGACCTTGTGGCACTCGTTTTGCTTCAATTCCAAGGAAATAATGTAACTCCTCATGTTCCTTGACAGAGAAACGTTGAGCCAGAGCATCGAGAGTATGTTGGAGTAAAGCCGTGTCATTTCCAGTGATCAAGATGTCGTCAACATAGACGAGCATATAGATAATCGATTTACCGTGTTGAAGAATAAAAAGTGATGTGTCGGAGACTGAATTCACAAAACCAACTGTTAGAAGATAGTTCCGCAATTCAACATACCAGGCCCGTGGTGCTTGTTTAAGGCCATAGAGCGCCTTGCGAAGTCTACAAACATAGTTGGGACGATCTTTGTCCACGAATCCCGGGGGCTGCGACATATACACTTCATCAGTCAACGTTCCTTGGAGAAATGCATTGTTGACATCTAATTGGCGGATTGGCCATGAGCGATCAACTGCTAACCCCAAGACGATACGAATCGAGGTGGATTTGATGACCGGACTAAACGTCTCAGCATAGTCAAGACCAGGACGTTGATTGTAACCCTTGGCAACGAGACGAGCCTTGTAACGATTGATTGACCCATCTGAATTGAATTTCTTGGTGAATATCCAGCGGCAACCAACAATCGTTACAGATGGTGGTGGAGGTGGTACGAGATCCCACGTATGATTACCGAGCTGAGCATTGATTTCAGACCCCATAGCTTTTCTCCAGCGTTCATCTTTAAGCGCTTGGATAGCTGTACGTGGTTCTGAGTCAGCTGCAAGAGATGTAGCCAAAAGATATTTTGTGTTAGGTTTTACTATTCCGGCTTTTGCCCGGGTAGCCATCGGATGGATATTTGAAGGTGGTGGAGCGATGGGTTCAGGTGATGGTGAAACCAGAGATGGAGAAGATGAGATTGTTGAGTCGTGAGTGGTAGGGGTAGAAGACGTGGATTGTGTTTGGGTTGAGTTTATTGGGCTTGTTTGATTTGGACTATTTTGATTTGAGTTGGTTTGATGTGGGCTGTTTTGTTCTGGGCTTATTTGATGATTTATTTGTTGGGTTGGATTTGTATGTGTTTGTGTTTGGTGTTGCTGGGCCGTGGGTTGCGGCCCATTTTGACTTGGAGCAGTGGGCTCAGGGGAAGAAGGAGAAGACGTGGAGGAGGAAGAAGAAGATTGAGTCGGAGAAAATACCTGAGAGTTGCGTGACTGGACTGGCGGTGACGGCGGAGCGGGGGAGTTATCACGGTGAGGACTCAAACACGGGGGTGCCGATAAAACCGAAATCGGGACTGAGAGAGTTGTATGAGATGGCCATTGCGGTGATGATTCTTGAATTTCTTCACGGGCTGACGTCACACCAGAGTGAAGAGCAGAGAATGGAAAATGTTGCTCATCAAACTGTACATGTCGAGACGTGTATATTCTGCCAGTCGAGATATGAAGACAGAGATACGCACTTTGGCTAAGAGTGTAACCCAAAAATACACATTGGCGAGACTTGTCTTCTAGCTTGTGTTGATTGTACGGTCGGAGCCAGGGATAACAAGCACATCCAAATATTCTGAGTTTGTCATAATTCGGAGGCATCCCAAATAACTTTTGGAACGGTGATTGAAGTTGAAGTAGAGGCGTTGGTAGGCGATTGATAAGGTAAACAGCCACTGCAAAGGCATATGGCCAATACGTCTTTGGTATGGAGGCATGAGACATGAGAGTGAGGCCTGTCTCAACAATGTGGCGATGCTTCCGTTCGGACACGCCATTGTGTTCCGGTGTATGAGGCGGTGAAGTGAGATGAGAGATACCATTTTGAGAGAAGTATTCTCGTAACGCAATGAACTCTCCCCCATTGTCGGAGTAGAATGTACCAATCCGTGTTTGAAACCGGTTTTCCACAAGATTCTTGAAGGTTATGAAAGTGTTTTTGACTTGAGATTTCTGTTTTAATGGGTAGAGCCAAGTATATCGGGTGTAGTGGTCAATAAAAATGACATAGTAACGGAAATTGTCAAGAGAAATGATAGGTGAGCTCCAAAACTCAGAGAAGACATACTCAAGTGGTCGGGTAGAGAAAATAGTGGAATTAGAAAAAGGTACTTTATGACTTTTATTGATCAAACAATCGGAGCAAGATGATAGTTTGTTTGAAGGGTTTAAAACTGAAAGTGAAAAATTGGAAATAATTGAATTTAAAATTGCAGAGGACGGATGGCCCAAACGTGAGTGCCATGACGAGTGAGTAGCTTTCGAGCATGGAGACGCAAACAGCGAAACCGCTTGAGACGATGCAATGGGCCACTCATACAACTCATCTTTAGTTTTGCCTTGGAGTAATGGGACCCCCGTGTTGAGATCCTTCACCTGAAATGATGCAGGAAAGAATTCCACAGAGACACGATTAGCGTTACATAATCGATACACAGAAATTAAGTTTTTGTGTATATTAGGGACATATAGAACTTTGTTAAGATCTAATGTACGAGATTTTGTAAGTAGAGAAGTAGAACCAGTATGTGTGATCGGGATAGTAGACCCATCGGCAATCATCACATCATCACCACCGGTGTAAGGTTGATGGAGAGCTAAATTGTTGAGGTCCGACGTGATGTGGTGTGTAGCACCGCTGTCGAGGAGCCAGTTGTTGGCAGAGTAAGGAGAGGCGACGGCAAGATTTGCGCGGGGCTGCCAAGGAGTGAATGGAGACGACATCTGCTGCGGTGCTCCACGAGACTGAAACTGTGGACACCGGCGCGCACTATGACCTTGAGTGTTGCAGATTTGGCATTTACCGAGATACGGACGTGGAGAGCGGTTGTCCGGCTTGGTATACCCTTGCGAAGGCTGATAGGAGGAGGAGCCGCCATCATAGTTGTTGTGGTTGTACGACTTCTTG